ATGGTGTATATCGATGTATATCGAAAAACGTGTCGCGGTTTTTGTAAAGCCCTTTATAGTGAAAATCAAACAATAAACTGCAGTAATGAGTTTTTTCACAGTCATTACTGTTACTGAGCCTAAACAAATATATTAGGCATTCCTAATTATTATAATTCAGAGTGAATTTTTATTATTCCTTTTTCACAGAATCTGGAACAACACGGCTTCTTAAAACACAAGAGGAAACTATATTCAAGAAAGAAATTGCCAACAAAATTTCGTCGTCTGATCCATCTCTAAAAACGTTTTCTGTTGAATCACAATCTTCAACAACAACTAGTAATGTGAAAAAAAATTTAAATAGTGAAATATGTTCGACATCTTTTTCCCAGAAGAGTCGTCTGAAAAGTCATGAGAAATTTAATTCTGAAGAGAGGCTATATCATTGTAAAATCTGTTCTAAATCTTTTGTTGAGCAGGGTCATCTGAAATCTCATGAGAAGTTCCATACTGGAGAAAGTCCCTATCATTGTGAAATATGTTTGAAATCTTTCACTCTCAAAGCCACATTTAAACGTCATCAAACAATTCATGCTGAAAAAAAACTCATTAACTGTGAAATCTGTTCAAAATCTTTCAATCGAAAAAGTAAACTTGTAGAGCATAAGAGAACTCACAGCGGAGAGACCCCATATCAGTGCAAGATTTGTTTGAAGTCATTTTCTCAAAATGGCGCGTTGAAAGTTCATGAGAGAATTCATGACGTAGACAGTTCATTTCAGTGTGAAATATGTTTGAAATGTTTCACTGTGAAAGATAAATTGATCTCTTTTTTAAGTATTTAAATAATTTTTTAAAGAAGAAGGTTGAAATGATAAGTTTAAAATGCGTTGTTTTAGAGCTCTTTCATGAAAACTACTTGATTTTCGTCTGGAGGAACATTCCCCATTGCGCCAAAAAGTTTGGTTTAGTTATTTGATAATTGAAAGACAATACAGGAAATGGGAATTAATGAATAGCAAAAATAATAAGAATGTTAATTTGTAAAGTGAACAAACTATTGTGGCCAGAAATGAAAAAGAATTGATAATGGGTTGAACAAAGTGAAATGGTAGTCATATACAAGCAATAAATAGTGTAATAAAAATTCAGTGAAATGAAATGATCAAGATGAATGACAAAATAATCATCGGGCTTCTCAACTTTCTACTTTTCCAACACTACACAAAGAATATTGGAAAACTTCTGAAGAACAAAAGGAAATGGTCAACTCCAATGAAAACTTTTTACAAAGATGTGTAGATCATGCCTATACATTTATTTCAGATACTATCTGGAAGAAAAAGTCCATCTGAAACAACTACTTTCAAGTACATGAATTGAAATGTAATTGAAACAGATGTCATTCACAGAAATGCTACATCCTTATATATGAAAGAGTGTTATATAACTTACATAGAAAACACTCAAACTTCTGGCGAACTTCAAAGTTTTAGGTTAAGACACTCATCATTTCCTCATCAGCAGCATCTAAGACAACTTTTCAAGAGGACTCTCTATCACTGGATTAGATAATTCTGTTAGTTAATTTAGTCCCAGCCATAAGAATTTCGTTTTAATCGAAAAGGAAGCATTTTTTGAAGAAATTAGATCCTTACAAATACTTTCTTGACTGTCTACTCCTCCATTATTACCTAAATTGAAAGGGATATATTTTTTGTTTGTATCTGAGAGAAACTTCTCTGCATGATTTCACACCATTGTAAAGGGTTTTTATTGAAGTTAACCTACTTTCTTCTGAAGCTTCCTACATTTTTGTATATTAATGGAGAAGTAGAGAGCCAAAAAGCTTTCTCCCAAAAACCAACTCTCATATTCTTTTTTTCTAATTTAAATTCGTATTTCGTATTGAAAATTTTTGAACAGTGACACTTGGCCGCTTATAAAAAGTTTCATTAGTGTACACCTAGATCAACATGTAGTAGTAGTAGCTCAATTCTAATCTGTAAGCTAAACCAGTAATATTGTTCAGTAGCTATAACTCTAAGTTTGTACTTCGGCAAATATTTGCGATTTGCGAAGCCCTCTGTTAACTCTAAACGAAATTTTTCGAACTGGATCGTTTCGGTTTATAAAAATTTGTTTGAACGACTTTTTTGGAAATTAGTGAAGTATTTCCCTCCAAATAATTATGTTTTCAAGTCAAAAATAGACTTGTGATGCCGTATTATCATTTTTGTATGAATTTTATTATGATATTACTGAAAAATGACAGCTCCTTTTTAGGGTTACTAAAGCATTTGCCTGGGTACCTATATCATGATATTCTGCTCAGAAAACTACCATTATGGAATAGAGTAGACGAAATGCTTTTTTTTAAGTCATATATAACTGGTAGAAGTGAAATATCTTACCTGTCTTATAGAAGAATGCTGGAACATTGCCCAAAGCTATTGGTCCCTCTGTAAGAGGTTTACTGACAAACTCAGCTGTCTAAACGATCTCCATGACAGTGCATAGTTGATTATCAGTGTATTGTTGATTTATTATGGGTTTATTTTTTTAAATTATGATTAAAATTAAACAGATTGAACTGTTTCACGTGTGATGGTCTGCAATGGCTTTTTCAGATGTGTCATCCCCAAAGTATGCATATGGGAAACTTATTTATTAAGGGTTTTTTGACAAAATGTTATTCTTGATAAAAGTTTGTGCATCCCGTAAAACGTTCATTTCAGTCTCGAATATACCTACAGAGTAGGTTCAAGCGTAGCCCAGTGACTAAATGAAGTTTAAAAAGATTTGGAAAAGCTGAATACACTCATTTGAATTGATGAATCGAAGAGGTTTTGTATTAAAGTGTATAATTTTTAAAATTCTTGCAAAGCGCTTTCGACTTTCGTCATCATCAGTGCTCAGTTGTCAGGCAACAGGAAGTATCAAAATAAGTATGGCAAATTTTAAAAAAGGAGTGTGATTTTTGTGAGTATTCAAAACCGTATGTAGCCCAAAATATGTAAAATTGTGTTTTTAAACAATTGATACTATAATGAAAATTCTACCTACTATACATGAGTCTATCTCAGAAGACATTACCAAAATTGAAAATGGTATGACTAACAAATTATCTCTCAGTATGTACATAATAATAAATTTCTGGGACTAAATATTGATGAAGTTTAAGGATGATATAATCAGTTTAAGAAATAGCTTGCCTCAAGTTGTCAAGCTCTGAACATCCTATTTTGCACTAAAATTATTTATGAAATGACTTGTGGGAAGTTGCTGCAAAAAACTTCTCAGGAATACGTACAAGTCATTATTTGAAGTCTGAGTTTTTAACAGTAGGCATTATTTATTTTGTGGGACACTTATTTCTTCATATAATACTAGTCAATAAAACAGTATTGAACTGCCTATTCCGGTAGGTCCTATTTATTTGAATCAAACTGTCCAATCGTCCTGTCAGTTAAAATAAAATATATCAGGTGTTTCAATATTTTCAAAAAAGCTGTTAAAAATGCTACTTGCTGTTGTGGCTTATTTATACAGTTTTGGAGTATTTTGGTGATGCTCTCAACTTTCATTTACAACCTTTTTATATCAATGTGTTTATGTTAGTATATATATTAGTTAATTTAGTTCAATTTTTTTCGACTCATTTATGTTCTGTTTGGTTTGATATTGTAATTGTCGAAATATATGCATGTTTTTTGATTAAAATGTTTTCTATATTTTTGTAATTCTTACAGGCAAGTAACACTAGACACAATATAGGACACAAGAAGAGAGTATTAGATGGCTAGGTGGAGGATATGCATTATGAATAATTATTATAATATTTTGTTAGGATAATATATCCTCATCTCCCTGATATGGTTAAGGTAGTCTTCCTGTTCCACAAGTTCTAAAACTTTCAAGTACATTAAACCTTTTACTTTTCATAGAAACTTTCGATAGTTTCCAGATACATATACCGGGTGTCCCACATTTTATGTGACAGGCAATATCTGGTTTGTTGAAGGAGATACACAAAAATGTTTCATACAAAAGTTTTAGGAGTTCATGAGAGCTATATTTTGATATAATTTTTAAATATACAGGGTGTTTGGTGTAGGTGCTACAGACCAAAATTCCATTTTTTAAAATAGAACGCCCTGTATATCATTACATATTCAGATGTTACGTTAAATTCTGATATCATTTCATGTTTGACCATATAATGACCATGCTTCAGGTTCTCGATTGGCTATCTGTAAAAGACAGGCTTTCCTATTTTTCCATGATATTTATTTTCAAAATTATTACTGGAAAATTTCCCACCTATTTCAACCAGTTCATAACTTATCAAAATGAAATCCATGATTACCCTACACAATGGAAGAAGAACTTACCCAAACAAAATATACCATGACAATGAATTCTCTTTTCCACAAGGGTCTCTTGGACTACAATAAACTTCCCAATGATATTAAATGTAGTGACTCCATTTTAATTTTTTAAAACAGTCTAACTAAATATCTGAAAGAAAAATATGTTTGAGTTTAACATATCTTCCACATTTATATCAGCTTTTCAGTTCATTGGTCTATCGGGAGTTGTATACTCCATCCTCTGATTTTATTTATTTTTATTATTCTTGTTATACTTTTGCTTGTATTTTCAAAATGTGATTGTTATAACAGTATTATGTATATTAGGATTCCTATATTAATAAATGCTCTTATTATTATATATGTGAAGAAGTTGAAACAAATTATTCCAGGCATATTAAATATGTTCTGTGATTCCAAGAGTTACCTGATTTACATTAAAGTTCTATTATTTCAAACTCTTTGCGGCATTTGTGTGGTAACCATTTTAATCGTAAAATTGTGCAAAATTCAGACAAGCATGGCTGTGCTTTAAAAATGTGAATATGATCCAAATCGGCAGGTTACCCAAAGAATATTGAATTTGGTTTTGAAGAAATTCCAAATGCAAGCTAAATTCAATGTGGAATGGAAAAAGATTGTTTTTATAATGTTGAGTCCAACTACGTCTGACCACACAAAAACTCCAAAATGCTCTAGAAAAGCACCTTCCATCACCAATCGTCGGTTTTATCTAGGTTATTTTCATAGAAGAGATGGTGAATTTGATATCTAAAAGCCTTAAATCATTTTTCTTTCAATGCCTAAAATCTTGCTGAGAAATTCATAGCTTTGAACCTGTTCCTTATGTTACATTTTAATAACTTACTTTTCAACAATTGCTATAATTCAGAGTGAATTTTTTTTCACAGACTCTGCATCACCACGGCTTCTTAAAACAGAAGAGGAAACGATGTTCAAGAAAGAAATTGCCAACAAAAAATCCTTCTCTAAACCATCACGAAACAAAATTTCTGTCTACTCAGCCAGTAATACCAAAAAAAAATTTGCTTGTGACGTATGTTCAAAAATTTTCAATAATGAAAATAAGTTGAAAGCTCATCACATAACCCATACCGGTATAAAACCTTTTAATTGTAAAATATGTTCAAAATCTTTTGGTCGAAAAAGTCACCTGAAAAGTCATGAAAAAATTCATACTGGAGAAAGGCCATATCATTGTAAAATATGTTCGAAGTCTTTTACTCTGAAAAATTCATTTAAAGATCATGAAAAAATCCATACAGGAGAAAGACCTTTTACATGTGATATCTGTTCAAAATCTTTTATTCAAAAAACTAAATTGAAATACCATAAGCAAATTCATACAGGAGAAAGACCATTTCGTTGTCAAATCTGTCCAAAATCTTTTATCCAGAAGGGAAAACTTAAAGATCACGAAAGAACTCACAGCGAAGAAAACCCATACAAGTGTGAAATATGTTTAAAATCATTTTCTCAAAGTGGTATGTTGAAAGTTCATGAAAGAATTCATGACGGAGACCTATCATTCCAGTGTGAAATATGTTTGAAATGTTTCTCTGGGAAAAATAACTTGAAGGTTCATGAAAGAATTCATACGAAAGAGAGACCTTTTACATGTGAAATCTGTTCAAAATCTTTCACACAAAAAGGCACTTTGGAAACCCACAAAAAAATTCATACTGGCGAAAAAAAATTCCATTGTGAAATCTGCTCAAGATCCTTCCTTTATATGGGTAATTTGAGAACTCATGAAAATACTCACACTAGGGAGGAATCATTTAATTGTGATTTTTGCTCAAAATCTTTCATTTGTAAGCGTTATTTGAAAAAACATATCTTGTCTCATACTGATGAGAAACCTTATCGGTGTAATGTTTGCACAAAATCGTTTACTACCAGTAGTTCTTTAAAAATCCATGAAAGTATCCATACTGGGAAAAGACCGTTTAATTGTAAAATCTGTTCAAAGTCTTTCACACGAAATTGTCATTTGAAAGTTCATGAAAAAGTTCATTCTAAAAAAAACCACCTCACTGAAAAGTAGTTTTATTGCAAGGACGAAGGTTATATGCCAAGGACTTCCTTCGTCCTCTTAGTCAACGCATATACCACTGATGAAGTATGCCGCAGTAGCAGGCGAAACGTTTGTTACTTTAGGTTCCATTTGACAACGGATTCTGTTATCTCAATAATAGGTACTATTTCAATATGAAAAGAAATTCTACTTTCTTTTACACACCTTATATTAAGTTTAGCACTTTTTTTAATGAATCATTTTCCCATTACTGAATATACCTTTACACTACATATATAAACTTATAATTGATGTTCACTGTATTAGCGTTGAAATTGAAGGTGAAGTTATATTGCTTTTCATTAGTTCGGACTTCCATTGAAGTTATATTGTTTGCGACAAGTTAAAGAACGATGCATTAAGGTTCAAGAGAAACGACTGGGAATTTTTTTAAAAATCGACTTGATTCATAAACACCTCATATTGTTTTGGAAAGATTTTGAGCAATAATCTTATGAAACCAAATTTAATACATCTTCAAATCTGATATGTGGCAAATTTTGTAATAGTAATTATAATAAAATGCTTTTCGATGATGAGGCTTATGTTATAGTTTTTGCTCTCAAGATATATTTTAAATTAGTCGTATTTCCAATTTAAGCATGAACTCTTTTACTTTTGATCACATTTCATTAATTCAGCTACATTATTTTCTGCACATTTGTGCTGTTTGTTTATACATCTTTACTTTTGTTCCTATTATAATTGTCCTTAACACGCATGTTTTTTAAAAGTTTTCCCATGAAGAATTTATTTTTAATTGACTTATAGTGATTGTAAGATTTTGTCAATAAGATGTAATAATCTTCAGAAAATAGAAAATATTTTATTTGATTGATTGTTTTCTGTGAAGATCATTTTGATGTAAGTTTTGATATTTATTCTCTAGTTGCATCAGCTTCTTGTATGTCAAGCCAGACACTAATTTTAAATGTACATACATATAAAAAGGAAAAGACACAAATATGCCTTTGTTGCCTTATATCATCTTTTTCTGTATTCAAAGGAATCTCAAAAGGTGTATATGTGCGGCTGTAGATGTTTCACATCAAAAATAGATTAGAAATGCCTGTTTTATAGTACCATTTCTATAACCCAAAGTTTCAACAATTGGTATAACTCAGCGTAATTTTTCATTGTGAGATCTGTTCAAAATCTTTCATTCAGAAGAGTCGTTTGAAGTATCACGAAAAAATTCATACTGGAAAAAGCCACCTTACTGAAAAAGAATTTAATTGAAACCATGAATTTCTCAGTTCTCTTAATGGGGATTTTTCAAAAGTTCAGTAAATTTAATAATAACACGGTTTCTGGACCAGAACAAATCATTTTTTTTATTCAAATAACACTTTATTGTTAGATTTCACTGGACAGTTATAAATGTAAAAAAGTCTTTATGAGAATCATAACAATATCCTTTCCAAAACGTTATTTTTGTTCGTTCGTACAGACTTCATTTCTTTCTTCGTGTATCTTCAATATAATTATGTTCATTACCTATATTAAACAAAACATTTGGACTCTACGGGAATGAAAATAACTAATTTCCAAATCAAGCGAGTGTTTTGATTAGCAAAATTATCAGATGTGACTAACTATCGTCCTATCGCTCTTTTGAGTATATTCTCAAAAATCTTTGAGAAACTAGTTAACGAGAGAATGGCTAACTTTTTGTTGAATTTTGAGATTCTTACTGACTACCAGCACGGTTTTCGTAAAGGCAAGTCTACACAGTCAGCTGCCTGTAGTTTTGCTGAAATCATTTATAACTCCCTAAACAATGGTATGCATGTGGCAGGAATATTTTTTGACCTCTCACGTGCATTTGACTGTCTATCTTATGACTTTATTGAAACCAAACTTTTTAATCTAGGATTTAGGGGTGTATTTTTGCAATGGCTCAAACATTTTCTTTCAGACCGTACAATGTTGGTAGAAATGAAAGATACACTATCTGATCCTCAACCAATCAGTTCAGGAGTTCCTCAAGGCTCTATCCTGGGACCGCTTACCTTTCTATTATTCGTCAATGATCTATCCAAATACTTCAACATCAACAACAATAGTCTCACTCTCTTTGCTGACGATACCTCGTTAGCGGTGTCAGCACACAGCCTAGAGGAATTAAAGTCACCAACGGAAAGGTTTATAACACACTTCTTAGATTGGTGCAAGTTGAACAATCCGATTGTTAACTTGAATGAAACGAAATGTATCCATTTTAGTTCTTCCATCGGTCTTGATAAACATCCTACTGTCTTTGATATTAGAGGGGTGGAATTGGTATCAACGAATTTTACATATTTATATACATCAGAACCACAGTGAACAATGACTGCATGAATATTATAACAGTGGTCTGCTAGGTTGAAATGTTCATCTATTTCGAACCTTCCAAAGAGTTATCGGGAGGAGTTTGTTGTTCAAATGTATCTATTTACTTAACTCAACCAAACATCATATTTTAACTGTTCTGAAAATCGACCAATACAACCATTTCTAATTTATTAAAAATTAATATGTTAATCTAAAAAAGTGTTCGTATTTTTATATAATTGGATGTAATACAAAGCCAAAAAGAGCCATAATAACTTGAATATATCGCATTCCATTCTTATCCACAGCAAAGCACCGCGACAGAGATTCGAGAACAAGAACTAGCGCCAGTGACCAGACATTCATGACGCTCCGTAAAACGGTATACGCGATACGATTCTCTGCGAAACCGTTTGCAAAATACCGTATATTCCTAAATACTACCGGGCCGGTAAAGTATTATAAAATCGCAATCCAAAATTCCGTTCTTCAAATACCGACCCATCTCTATTATGAATAAAACTTTTGACGTATGTCATCTGTCATGAATTATTTTATTAAGGTGTTGTCATTTATATTGTCAGAAAGCAAAATATTTTCAAATATTAGAGGAAAGTCGTTTTTAAATTATAATTAAAGTTTGTCAGTTAGTCTGTTAATTCGATAATGGCTACAGAATGTAAAATATCAAATAAAAAGGAATCGAAACTCCTTGTTTCTGAGGAAGTAATTTTTGAAAAAAATCAAGTCAAACTGGAACCCCACATTGACAAGTTTAGTCAATATGAAATTCACAATAGTGATGATTCTACTGAAAAAGACTATATGGCCAACAAAAATAATTCCAGTATTGGAATCAAAGTGAATATACTTGAGGAGGAACTGTTCAAAACAGAAGAATCTATTGATATTCACTATGAAAATCTGAAATCTGAGAATAAAATACTAGGCGAACATTGTGAAGTGTGCAGCAAAAGTTTTATTATTTTGGAAAACTCCAAAGAGTTTTACCCTGATTGTAGCTGTCGAAATCAATATAATATGTTGAATAACTCAGGAAATGAAGATGTAACTGGGGATTCGAAACTGCCTTCTACTGCTATCACTTCAGGTAAGGAAAATCAACGAGAGAATTGAGGTGGGTTCATGCATCACTTTCAATCAAATTGCAAATTTTTTGTAAGAGTTCATGTTAGTCACCATTTGCTATTCCTTCATACTTAATGTGACTTGCTACTCATAATTTGTGACTCGTAAGACTCAAATATGGTGCGGGAGTTTTACCTTCATACTGGATTTACGAACTTTGAATTCATGTTAGCAGAATTTACCCTACAACTTGAAGGGAAGTTTTCATATTGATTCATTTAGTAAAAACTGAGAAAAATGTTATATATTGAGGTTTGTGAGAAACCAATGCACAGTAGAATTTATCTACCTTTACGCAATTTTCCTAATCTAGATACAGCTATTAGCTCACCAAACTACCTGTTTTACTCTAGAAACATTAGTTGTCCCACTTCACACACATACAATCTAGCCGATATGAAAGGAATGATAATGGCTTGAAAGCAACACTGTAGTTGCCAATAGCTTCAAAAAACAGAGCGAGAAAAGGGGTAGAGATAATGGGACTGAAAAAAATTTAAATGCAAGTAGAAACTAATAGGAAAAAACAGTTTTACAAATTCCATAATTACATCAAGAAAAGAAATATAACATGAAGTTGACACAAGCTTGTTTAAAGTCATTTCACAAGCTCCCTAACCTTGGCTTTTCAGTTTCTATAGAACGGCTCGATGACTAGGTCTCCCAGTGATTATGCTTGGCATTATCCTGAGTTTGTTGACATTAGACTGAGAACCTTGAGTGCATGAGGATGTTTTAAAAAAAGCAGGGGGTACAAACGAGGACGCAACATTCATACTGGAGAACGATCATTTCAGTGTGAAATATGTTTGAAATTTTTCTCCACATCAAGTAAATTGAACGTTCATGAAAGACGTCATACTGGAGAAAAGCCATTTAATTGTGAAACTTGTTTGAAAAGTTTCATAACTAGAAGTGAATTGAATATTCACAAACGATTTCATACTGGAGAAAAACTTTTGAGTTGTGAAATCTGTTCAAAATCATTTGTTTATGAAAATTATTTGAAGGAGCATGAAAGTACCCATACTGGAGAAAAGCCTTTCGATTGTGAAATTTGTTTGAAAAGTTTTGTTTCTAAATGTAGATTGAATGAACATAAAAAAATTCATTCCGGAGAAAAACCATTCAAGTGTGAGATTTGTTCGAAAAGTTTTTTTTTTAGAAGCAGATTGAAAGAGCATGTGAGTACTCACACTGGAGAAAAGCCATTTGTTTGTGAAATTTGTTTGAAAACATTTATTTCTAAAAGTAGTTTGAACGTTCATAAAAAAATTCATACTGGTGAAAACCTGTTCAATTGTGAGACTTGTTCAAAGTTTTTCATTTCCAAAAGGGAATTCAAAGAGCATGAAAATATGCATACTGGTGAAAAACCATTTACTTGTGAGATTTGTTCAAAAAGTTTTATCACTAAAAGGAAACTGAAATTTCATGAAATAATTCATACGGAAGAAAAACTATTCAATTGTAAAGTCTGTTCAAAATTATTTATTTGTAAAAGTAAGTTGGAAGAGCATGAAAAACATCATACTGGGGAAAAACCATTTTGCTGTGAAATCTGCTTGAAATCTTTTTCTCAAATTGGTAAATTTGAAGCTCATCAAAGAATTCACAATAGTTTTCAATGTGAGGTATGTTTAAAATCTTTTTCTGCAAAGAGTAAATTGGAAACTCATGAAAGAACTCATACAGGTGAAAGGCCATTCAGTTGTGAAATCTGTTCAAAATCTTTCACCCAAAAAGGCAGTTTGGATTCCCATAAAAAGACACATAGTGGCGAAAAAAATTTTCAATGTGGGTTGTGTCCAAAATCATTTCTGTATAAGGGTAATTTGAGAGTTCATGAAAAAACGCACACGAAGGAAAAACGATTCGAATGTGAAACCTGCAAAAAATGTTTCATTACCAGTAGTGACTTGAAAAGTCATGAATATACTCATTCTAAGAAAAAACCCTTTCAATGTAAAATCTGCACAAAAAGTTTTTCTAGAAGTAGTTATTTAAAATTGCACCAGAATATCCACACAGGAGAAAAGCCATATAGTTGTAAATTTTGCTCAAAGTGTTTTGCTCAAAGCAGTACTTTGAAATATCATGAAGGTACTCACATTAGAAAAAACAATCCTGATAAAAATTGATTTTGTTTTGTAAGTAGGATGGATATTTTGTAAAATAACTCATTTTAATAAAGTTGGATTTCATTAAGGAAATTTGTACTAATTTATTTGAATCAAGTCAATTTTTTGATGAAACTAACATTATTTTCAAACATTCCATCATGAATACTCTGACCTGTTACTTGTTAAAATTTACTGTAAAATTTACACATTGAATTTTATTTGAAAAGTGCTTTGATACACGGTAGCTTCACCAGTAACTGATGAAGCCACTGTTTGGCAAAACGTGTTTTGAATAGAATTCATTGCGTGAAAGCTATTTTTCTTTTGCTGTGGTCTGCTAACGTTTCGTCTACTGCGGTATACATTATCAAAGGCGATGTGGTAACAAAATGGTTTAGACTTTCGCGGCTGAGGTTTTCAGTGTCACCGTTTTTTGAGTTTGAAAGCCGTGGATTTTTGGAATTTCTTCCTGACGTTTCGCTGGCGCGAGTGGCTAGCTNTGCTGCCTTAACCACCACTCAAGATTCCCGACCCCCCATGTCATTAAAAATAAACTAAGGAAAGATCTCCCTTTGGTGCTTACGTAATAGGGAATGTTCCTCCTGACGAAAATCAAGTAGTTTTCATAAAAGAGCTCTAAAAGAACGCATTTTAAACGTATCATTTCAACCTTCTTCTTTAAAAAAGTATTTAAATACTTGAAAAAGAGGAATGAAATAATGCATTCAACATTTAAAGGGATTCGTTTCTAGTTCAATTATTTGTTCTGGACATTAAAATATTTGTATGATCTGCATAGAGAATGATTTGATCTGCAGCAACACAGGTGTTCTTTATGTCGCTCGTGAATATTATAAAGAAAAGAGGTCCCAGAATGGAGCCTTGAGGTACACCTTTATGATAACTTTCTCTTGTCTTTGATTTTATGGAATCTAGTACAACAGTTTGTTGTACAAACAATTCAAAAATATAAAGACTTACAAGAGTCATAATCCTAAACTGCCTGAATAAACTCCTACAAGAAAAAGTGTTGTTAACTCCAGCTACTATTGGCAAAATTCGTTTCTATACTATGAATATTTCAGATGCCAAACTAGAGTTGCCCCACATGCATATGTCATTTCCTGGGTTAAGTAGTAGTTGTTTCGTCAAGAAATTCCTTATATTTCTGAATAGATAAGAAGAATTTACTTTACTAGTTATATTGATTGGATTTTCAGGCATGAATCCATAGTGATACCTAAAAAGTTAGTTTCTTCTGAATTTTCGAGGATTAGGTTGCCTATACTGATTCGAATATTTGTTTTGCATTGTTTTTGGCGATAGTGGAATCTTATCAATTGAGTTTTACCGGCGTTGAGAAATAAAAAATTAATTCTACACCAATTGGTAATTTTCTGTAGCACATCTTTACATTTGTCAGCTAAAACTTTTTCTGACTCGCCGAACACGATCAGTGAAATATCGTCCGCATACGTTACAAAAGTATCTCTCATGACTGTATCCATTCAATTTATGTACAGCAAAAACAGTACCGGACCTAATACCGATCTTTGTGGCACACCCATGGAAATCTTCGCATAATCGGAGTGATGTCTGCTTTCTAAAAACGACTGAATCCAATCATAAGCTATCCCTCTTATACCATAAAAATACAATTTTGATAATATATTTATTTAGTCGACACAATCGAAGGCCCTGGACATTATCAGCTTCTATGTAATAGACCAAACGCTCAAAAAAAAATGAATCACTGCTGTGTTCGTAGATTTATCTAACCGAATATCGTGTTGTAGGTTAGTTAGAATTTTATGTTCACTCAAAAACTTGATAAGCCTATCCAAGTAAGAAATTCGAATGATTTTGTAAAACTACTGGTCTAGAATTTTCCAGTTTTGCTCGGTCCTGCTGTTTGTGTACTGGAACTACCTTCCCAATTAATAATTCTTTCAGAAATGACTGTTTCAAATGACAGAAACTTGAAAGAAATGAATAAGTAAAAAAGGTACCGGAAATTTGGAGGCAAACTTTTGCCTCCAAAACGTTAAGTTTTGTTTAACTTCTTATCTTTTTTATTTGTTGGTAGAAAAAATTATTGAGTAACACGAGTTACTGATGAATAGAACATCTTTATGTGAGAAATACCTAAAAATACCCACAGAAGGTCGATAAAACTGATTTTTTCCACAAAAAATGACTGACACTTGTTGACACGTATTTCTGTGCTTTCATATTCGTGGACCTAGTCTTCGGTTCATCCCATAGATGGCGTATAAGCGAGGGAAGATGTCATCGTCTTCACTCACTTATGTTTGGATATTACTGGTGTTTTTTCCCAACACCAAATCATTATTTTTAACACCTCGACACGTGTTTCGATCACCAAGTGATCATCTTCAAAGAGGAAGATTAAACTGGAAACTAACGCGAAGCTAACGGTATTTATGCTATATAGATATCACATACAGGTAAACCATCCAGGTGTACCACCCATACAGGTATACCAACCTAAATTAATTTTACAATTTGCCTTATCTATTATTTTACAATATATGTTAGCTTAGCGTTAGTTTCCAGTTTAGCGTTAGCTTCGCGTTAGTTTCCAGTTTAATCTTCCTAGAAGATGATCACTTGGTGTTCGAAACACGTGTCGAGGTGTCAATAATAACGATTTGGTGTTGGGAAAAAACTCCAGTAATATTCATTACTGCACCAAAGGACAGTTGACCCCAGTAATGCATTTGAAGTTCAGCCTAAAGGCTAGTTCATGTTGGAACGAACATCACATAAAAAGTGCGATTTAAAATGGCGTCGTGTTTATCGTAAAAAAGTTGAAAAAATTGATCTTTTTTGCGATTTCCGCAAAATTTTATACGTCAACATACAATGAGGTTATATTGCTATATTTTATTTGACTCTCGTTTTTAAGCTCATAAATCGAAATTGAATCCGAAATGGACGAATGTGTAATGTGTTAGGTTGTTCAAATTATATCAACTTTACCGTATATATAAAGTTTCATTGAGAAACCCCCGCCTTTATTGTGTGAGAAATATTTTCAAAAACAGAAGGAAATATGGAGAATTTCACAACCTAGTGACTGAAATGAGAATCAGTGATCCAGAGAAATATCTCAACTATTTCAGGCTGACTCTCTCATTATTCAATAAATTATTGAATTTGGTTGGCCATTCGTTAAAGAAGACTCATTTTGCAAAAGAACCCCTCGCTCCTGCACTTAAGATAACTGGTTTGAAGACACGCTATTATTAAACAAAACTTGAGAAAAGTGTTAGTCCTATTTTCTGATATGATGGGGCCTGGTTTTAAAAGTCGTAATTCGTATGAGTCGTATGTCATCATTCAGGTTCATGTAATAAAAAAAATTCAACAACAAAATCCCTAGATATTGCCCGCTTCAACATGAACAGAGTATTTTGACAATTAGGGCAAATTTGCGGAACCGCAAAAATATTATCGCAATCGTTCTAATATGAACTCGCCTTAACTCTTTGTTTTTGTGCTTTGGTTTCAAATAATTATTTTGTTGGGTATGAAATGAGTCTGCAGAAGGATATTTTGATTTTATTTAAATACATCGGAGTAAACAAATAGATTCTATATATAATAGGTTACATCAAAGTGCGAATACAACCTTTTTTACGACATCACAGGTTCTCTTAATTCTAAACTATGAATACAGTTTGTTCACCAATACTTGCTGATTAAGGTGATTTCATAGAGGGTTCAGATTCACTCAAGACTCACTACGAAATGAGAAAAATGTTCTTCTAAATAATAAACGTTCCATCCGTTTTTGAGAAAAATGTAGTTTTATATTATTTCATAGTAGTTATCTCCAATATTACAAGAAAAAATTCAACTTTTGCTTGCTAGACTTTTATTCAATGATTTCTTTATAAAGCTGCAAATTTTTTGAAAATTCTCTATTTGATGTACCAATTATAATGAGATTGTGATACCAAATAACTATAATCTACTTTGGTTCATGCCGAGTTCATCTTGTCATGAAGGTGGCAATATTTCTGTGAGTTTGTGAAAAACCAAACTGGATGGGTTTCTGTAATCCGAAGATTTAGAATTTCAGAAATCTGATAATTCAGTTTGCTTGGAAAGACGTTGGAAAATTAAATGTAGATTCTGGATCAATTTACAAGGAGATTTTAACACAACCCAATTCGATTATCGCGGGCTGTAAACAACTTTGTGAACACAAAAATTATTGAAAACTAGTTACGGATGGACTATGTTATCGTTTCCAAAATATACTTGTTAACATATATTTTGTATTGCATGGTTGTTATTCACCAAATTATGGAACTATATTCCCACAAACAATACATTTTTCAAGATTTCAAACCTTTAATAGTTTTTTCATCACATAAGATGAAAATTCGCTGTGAATCAAATTAATTTTTTCATTACCTAAGAAACCATCGAAGCAGATTGTACAAAAAACATTTCTCACAGTCTTACAAATCTTAGAATGAATCTAAATCTGAGAGATATCATTTTATTAGGAAAACTTAACGAAATTTCTTACTTTATGGGATTTACTCAAGTGTGATGGAACTCTTTGGATGTGATTCCACCAACATTTTTTATTTATAGATGTGATGTGGTTTTTCAAAATTATATTGATGAATTTCAATGTGAAATTGAAACTGTTTTGAGATGATATTGAAATTCTCCTGATGAACGATGAGTACTGCATTAGATTCCTTAGAGTTGAGTGTGAACTAACATCAGTTTCGAATTTAGAATTTCACAGGTTTCTACCAAAATTTTCCAGAGGAAAACCTACAACTATGTGTATTGCTGTTTCAAAATGTTTGTACTTTCTGAATCCATATCCGAAGAATTCTATTAGATTTTGAGATGAGTTGCTTTAGAAAACTACTCATTTGATTGGGGGAATAATTTCTCCTCATTTTCTGATGAGAATTGAAAGTTAAATAGAGTATTCTCGAGATAGGTTGCTTGAGTCCAAATAAGGAATGGAGCAAAATTTGTCCATGATTTTATCCAAATACTGTAGGTCGATTCAATTCCATAGAATATCAAATGAATATAAGTTCAAAGATGATAATGATGGGACATTTTCTTTATTTATATAGAGGGTGCTACGAATTTCCGACATCGGAATTTTCATACAGAGCATTTAATAATAGTAGATTTTGAAACCTATAGTGTGAAATTAATCTGTTGAAAACACTTTTTCCTCACCAGAACAAAATCACTGTTCACTAATCAAGACCAAATACTGTTGTGTTAGGTTAAGTTAGGTTAGGTTAGGTTAGGTTCTCAGGAGAGAAGTAAATGCTTACGGACAATGTAAAAAATATTACTTCATTCCAACTGTAAAAAAATAAGAATGTTCAAATGTCTGTACACAGTGTACATTAAGATATAAGTGGAACGCTTTTGAAATTTATGATTTGAGGAATATATTTCATTAATCAAACGCCCTGTGTGAACATATTCAAAAATAAAATGGTTTATGATACAACCATGTGGAAAATACTGTGTGTGGCACTTTTTTCAATGGAACGAAAATATGTTTTATCACCTCACTGATTATAGGTAGGTACATTTTGAGAGTTACTTTCTATGTATGGCTCCAGGTCAAATACGTTTTTTTCTAAAACGCTTGATTTTTTGACTGTATAAAAGTATTTGGATCCATTTGATTACATGAAAGCACAAGACGCAATTAATCTGTCACCCAGAGACAAATTTAAAGTGTCCGTCCATAAAGTAAGTGGGCATACACTGAAATGAATATATTACGTAAATATGGAACTTGAATCATTCACAAATGTCTATTGAATTTTTTATCAATATTTTTTTGGGTTTTGTCAACTTCCACAATCTAAAAAAATTAAATATTGTGATAGTCTTTCGGATATAATATGTGATACAATACCTACCACGGTATATCGTGGTATAAGCCAGAGTAGTAATTAGCAGGTATTCATCAGATGCATTGACAGGGGTGAATATTTCGAATTTCATATTCTAAATGTTCATTTACTCACGAGAGACGCAAAAGAACTAACTAATTTCTTTGTGTTAAATTGGTTGAACAACAAAATGATTTTAACACCCCTTACCTGACACCAATGTGTCAGACCTTCCAAGCAGGGCCGTAGCGACAAATAAAAACAGGGGAGGGAATCCAAGTTTTCCCAACCCCACCAGTAAAATTTCCCAACTTTCGAAAAAATGAAAGCTGAGGGATTAGTTACTACTATAATATATTCATTTTCTTACTTCGCTATCCAAAGATTGGCTGAATGCTTATGCTCATTAGGGTATACAGAAACAAAAATAAATTTTGCTAATTATAAAAATAATAATGGGAATTATTCTACTTTGGACCAAGGTCCTTGGTCTTCCACCATATCCACCATGTATAGGAATATTCAATACAAATGAAAGGAAACAACACTTAAATAATATTGTGCATATTGTTTTCTACTATTATTTTTTCTAACTACACGGCCCGAAATTTCCCAACTTTTTTCCAAGTCGAAAAAGTATGGGGGGAGGCTCCACCCCCCATCCCCCATAGCGACGGCCCTGCTTCCAAAGTGATTTTCATCACACTAATTACGTATTTTTTGGTCAAATTTTAAGAATGTTGAAAGGGGCAAATAATTCTGATCAAGATTTTTTTATTCCACCTAATTTGTAAAGAATTCAAATCTAAATTAAGTCTTTTATATTCAGATTAATTTTTATTTGTTCAAATTTTCGTCTCTTATATAAGTCACTTGGATGAAATTTTCTCATTTTTACGTTTTTCAAAAAACTGTTCACAAGTGAACATTGTATTGTATATCATTTTGTATATGTATATATATCGTTTTTAATGCCTGAACTTTTCTCAAAATATGGATTCTACCGTGTACAAAAAAATAATTGATAATGATGAAAATGTAGGGAAGATATACGTCCTACATTTCATCAAAGGTAGATCAAATTCCAGTAGTTAAGGTCTGGATGTCGAGGTGGAAGTATGTTTTCTAAATAATACATTGTGAAAGACTCTGTATTGATTGATTGAAAGATCTGAAACTATTCCAGTTGAGCCCCCGCACGTTTTTCCTGATCTAATATTTCTTGGCCGTCATCAGATGATATGTATTCCCCGAACATCACCAAAAGTTGAACATCGGTCATAACCTAGTGATGTTCTTGATCTTCCGAATGTGCTCGAGACGTACCTCGAGCCAAGCCGAGGCGATAACTGCGATCAACATGACGAAGGCCAGCGAGTAGAGTTTCCATACGTTACAGAGGAGCTGGTGCATCAAGAAAGAGATGGCCAGGCCGCAGAATTTGAAGAATGATACGTTGGCGAAGGCCGGTTCCCAGTTATCGGAGTATTGGCCAGTCAAAAGGGCTGTAATGAAAAATATTTTAAGAAATTTGGATTTGAACTCTCTATCGGTTAGTTAGTTGGTTGTTTACTGGTCATTTGAACAATCACAAGATGCATATGACAAGTCACAAGACATAAATACTCAAGAAATCACAAACTGAATTCTATTAGTCCGGACTTCCATTGTGTAATATAATATAAATTGATTTGGAATCTCTAAAAGAACCAATACTAATGAAAAATAAAAAGAATAACTGAAAATAATTAAACTGAGCAAAGATAAAAACAACAAAAAACCTAAAATGAAATAAGAGTGAAATAAAATACAAGTAGAGAGGAATGTTCCTCCTGACGAAAATCAAGTAGTTTTCATAAAAGTGCTCTAAAACAACGCATTTTAAACTTATCATTTCAACCTTTTTCTTTAAAAATTATTTAAATAGTTAAAAAATAGGAATGAAATAATGCATTCAACATTTAAAGGGATTCGTTTCTAGTTCACCATTTGGCAAAGCATCGGTTATAGCTAATAAAGGACAATGAATCTGTTACCTGTATGAGACAAACAAAAATTACATATATCAGAGGCGTGCTGTTCTGATTACTTATGTTCCGAGTTCCGAGACATTCTGTGACATATGATATTTTGTGCACCTAATCTATCTTCCTCTATATAAATGAATAACAAAACAACTGTTGTTTATGTGGCTCGTGGAGGTGGTATTGAACTATAATTTATATTTTGCCTTAATTGTTGATTTATAAAGATAATTTTCCTTTTTTAAAGTAGAATATCTAGGTACGTATAAATTATTTCAACTTGATATAGGCGCTGTTGCCAATATGTGAATTAGAAACAAATCCCTTTAAAAATTAAAACCCAACATTTTCGAAAAACTTATGAATTAAACTCAACTTTATTTTGTGCAAACTTACATTTGCTGTAATAACCCAAATTGAGGAACATTCCCCATTCAACTAAAAATAAAAAACAAGGAGATTTCAACCCAAGTTACTTCACGATGTTTCGATTGTTAGTATCCACAGTCGTCTTCGGGTGATGACTGGACTAATTCCTCCGAGAGATGGCTATTCATGGGTCATTCGAGTACTTTTACTTATCTCCTCTTACTGGTTTAGCGGGAGATGACCGTTTTGCGGGAGCTTGATTATGGGTTTCCATATGTTGCGTATCTCTACGCTAGCTTGGCTGAATATATCATTGGAAAACATGTATGCGGCTTCTTTGAATTTCCTCCTAAACCAATGTTTCTCCCTGTGTATGATCTCAGGAAGGAACCACTCGAAGTTATGTTTATGGGTCCAAACATGCTCTGCTATTCCTGATTTGCTGGTATCTTCTCCCTGTGTGTGTTTCTTGTACTCGGCAATGCGAACTTTCGGTGATCTCTTAGATTCACGGATAGAAGATTTTCAGCACTTACAGGGGGTATCCGGTAAATGCAATTCTTCGAATCGCACTCCGCGGTTGATGGCCTGGTTTTCGTGAGGTTGCTACGGATAGTGTTACCAGATCTGAAGCAGGTTCTAATGTTGAACTTGGACCCAATTCTTCTCCGATAATCCTCTGATGTAGGGAAATGCAAGCACTAATTGTAGCGGCTTCTCTTTCTTGTGAGTCGCTTGCTGTCTTTTAGCCAAAGTCTGTTCCACCATCGCTTTGGAGTAGCCATTCCGTTGAAGATCATTTTTGTTGACGTCTGGTTCTTTCTCGAGACCTTTCTTCGTATTACAGAGCAAGAAAGCACGATCTAATAGAGTCTTGATGTTTCCTCTTTTAGTCGTTTGATTGTAGTTAAGATACTGTCCCGTGTGAGTGACTTTTCGGTATACAGATGTTTCCCACTTAGTGTCGGCCCTATTCACCACTACGTCTAAGAATGGCAATTCGATACGGACTTCCTTCTTCATTGTGAGATTGATGGAAGGTCTTATGCTGTTAATGTGTTTCAGGAAGGCGTCTAGTTCAGTATAACCATGAAATCATATTATAAAGGTGTCGTCAACGTATCTCAACCAAACTCGGGATTTCTTGTAGGCTTCTTCAAATGCCGTACTCACAAGATTTTGCACCGTGCGACTTTTTTTTGTTTCCCAACTGCTTTGAAAGGGATCCGATTTTAGTCGATGGAAGCGGTGATGCAAAAAAACGAAAGAGCTCCTAAAGGCTCTCACGAAATAAGACTTCCAGCACTACTTCGATCAATAGGAAAAACGTATTGATAGGTATATGGCGAGGAGAGGGAAGTATATTGAAGAGGAGCATTCCAATGTAGAATATTTTTTATAATAAAACCCTTTTTCGTAATCAGTCTCGTGTTAGGAATCACACGATGAAATGTAACACCTCGTTAGTCCTTAGCTCGCACAAGTTTCGACTTCTGAGGGTTATCGTTCGTAGGGGTGCGATAGCTGGTTAACGAAAAAAACATATTTTAAACATATTTATTAGCCGGACCTCGTAGATCAACTAAAGGTACTTACTGAAACAAAGCATTTCCCATATGGCATTACACACGCCCCAAGAAGCAGAAATTACGTAAAAAAGTGCTGGATCATCTTCAGTCGGATTCCATAGTACCAGTACCATCAAAAGACAAATATGAAATGCGAAACCCACAGCTGAAAATAAAATATTGAATAATGAGCATCAAAATAAAGAATAGAGAGGTATAGTTGTACAATTTGCTGAAGGGATATCATACAGTGTGTCAATTTTAAAACTTACAATGGGCTATATCTCACGAACGAAAGCTGATATCAAAAAATGCTTGAAACAGTTTCTAGGATAGTGAGGGGGAACTGAAGTGACATGAAAAACAACTCACCCCTATCAACCCCCTAGGCCCCACCCACCAAAACTCAAAAAGTTTAAATTGCAAACCCCTACTTGTGATACATCATTGAAAAGACTATAAAAAATGCTATCCAATGGTATAAATGATAATTGTACAGGGTGGAGCAATAATTGTGAAACTTTGGCTTGAATGGAATATTTAATTAGGTTTTTGTTGAACTGCAAATTTATTAAAAATGTCAATTAAGTAAATGTTCAAAGTGGGTTCGGTTGTTTTGTAAACAATAATAGAGCATATTGTCAAAGTCTGCACGAACTTTAATATCAGCCGGCTTACTATGACTTTTTTATTTGTATTGCTACCTCCCGGACTATTATTTTAATTGATAAGTGTCCGTCGATACTTTTTTTGTTGAATAAAAACTTAATTTGCCGTTTTTGCAAAACAAGTTGGAAAGATCTGTTTTTTGGGTTCTGTCAGAGTCAATAATTTTTGGTTTGTTTGAGACTTTTAAATGTAATTAGTTTTCATCCTTTGTACGATCTGTACTGTCATTCAGCTGTAGTTGTCACGATGGTTTACAGTATACCGGAGCGCGTGGAGATAATTTTTATATTTGCCTCCCAGAACTAGTGTTATTTATAAACAGCTCAAATATTTCATGAAAGGCATCCGGACAAAAATGTAAGTCACGTGTATGTCCGCGATTTAGTTGAAAAGTTTAGAGAAACAGGATCAGTGCAAAATAAAAAAAGGAATGCCCCAAGATTACTGAATGAAGCAACCCAAATTGAGGTCCTTGGAAATTTTGCAATGGAGCCTACTGCATCAACACGTCAAGTATCTGCAGTGACAGGACTTTCACATGAGTCGGTTAGAAAAGTGTTGAAATTACATAAGTTTCACCCGTATAAAACACAAATTCTTCAAGAATTAGGCGATGATGATCCAAACCGACGAATTGAGTTTTGTGAACTCATGACATGACAGAAAGAATTCGCGTTGAACCGAGAAAAATATTTGTTTCAGTGATGAATGTACTTTTATGCTAAATGGTAATGTAAATAAACAAAACTGTCGGTACTGGAAAAGGTCATACTAAATATCCTGAAAAACTGAATGTTTGGGCAGGAATAATAGGCGATGCTATAATGGGTACCTTGTTCATACCAGGCAATTTAAGTGGCGACATTTATCTCGATATGCTGGAAAACACCATCGAACCTTTAATTTGGCATGAACTAGAGAACCAAAGGGACGACCAAGGCAACTTAGCTGTAGACGAAGATTTGCTGCACTTCCAACAAGATGGAGCACCTCCTCACTATGCAGCTTCAGTTAGGCACTTGTTGAATACTAATTATCCAAACAAATGGATTGGAAGGAGAGGTCCCATTGAGTGGCCACCGAGGTCACCAGACTTGGCGCCACCTTACTTTTTTCTGTGGGGTCATCTCAAATCAGTTGTTAGTAAAACTCAACCAGCGTCACTTGGCGAATTGCGAGAAAGAATTACGCAAGCATGTCGTGCCATTACTAGAACAACATTTGCCAAAGCAGAATTTGAAAATAGGCTGTATTATTGTTTACAAAACAACGGAACCCACTTTGAACATTTACTTAATTGACATTTTCAATAAATTTGCAGTTCGACAAAAACCTCATTAAATATTCCATTCAAGCCAAAGTTTCACAATTATTACTTCACCCTGTACAATTATTACAATTTTGTGTTTTGGTGGGTGGGGCCTAGAGGGTTGATGAGGTTGAGTTCTTTTTCATGTCATTTTAGTTCCCCCTTACTATCCTAGAAACGGTTTCAAGCATTTTTCGATATCAGCTTTCGTAAGTTTTAAAAGTGACACACTGTATATCTATTACAGTGAATGGTGGACTGATTTTCAAAATTTCATTTCATAATGTGTATTAATAAGCTATGATTAAATGCCTATTCATATTATCATTCTAGACCCGTTTTGCTAACATCGTAGCTTCATCGGTAGTAAAAATTGATTGATAGTTGATGATCAGGTAAATGGACACATTTCAAGATAACAGGTAGAATTTGTAAAAAATGTATAGCAAGCGTCAAACGTGTTGGTGAACGATCGCCCAGGTATAGAGTCTCCCAACTAGAGTTCTATTGGATTACGATAAGCCCTTTGCTGGCCAGTTTCGTAGGTACCTATAATATAGCAAATGAAACATGGCTTCTTTGTAATTTCTTTACATATTTTATTTAGCATTATAGGTAGTAGTACAGTTTATTGAAGTGTTATATAAGATACACTCTTGATGACTGGTTTTTTGTTAGGCGATGACATTTTTTCCGAAACAACACAAATTATTCAGACAATGCCAAACCCCAACAGCATTGAAGCACAAGTAAAGATACAACTCTGTTCAGAGCTGTAGTGATGATTGTTTTGAAAAGAGTTTGTGCGTATTGGGGCGAACTCGCCATCAAGTTTGGCGCTTGCTGTACAGTCTTATTTATTAGACAGTAGGTAAACTTTGAATGTGACTATTATTGGCATTATAAAAGAATGTTCGACAATGGTGAGTGGTTAACCTCTTGTTGATCGTTCAATAGGGAATTTCAATGTTTGCCCTTATTGATTTCCAGAGGATCCAGCAGGCTCAATTTCTGACTTTTATTTTCTATTTGGAGTACTAGCGAGCCGCCCCGGTTCCGGACGGGATAAAGAGATAATTTTGTTTTATGGACGCACCTTTTGCCCCGCCGCTGACGCCCCAGTTGGACTATTTGAAAATCCGCGTTACGGAGAAACAGCTTTCAAAAATATAACGGTACAGAGAAACAGCGAGGAAAAGGTAATTTCCATATGTGAACGCGCCCTTTTTTCTCCAGGGAGTGCCCCAGGGGGCAAAAAAGAATTTGAACAGGAACAACTTTAGTAATTTTAAAATTATTAACGTATCCAAAATAAAAGTATAGCGTACTACACTGGACCTACCAAGTAATAAAAAATCTATCAATTCCGTTGGTATCTATCAACAACTCCAATGGAAAATTTGATAATATTACACGTAATTTTTGGTGATGAATTGTTATTATTAAAATTCTTTTTCGCTCCGTAGGTATCTTTGAAACAAAACACCCCATCAAAAATCATCAAAGAACATAATATCCTCATAATAGTCCAATGAATAGTCCGTCAAATTTTTGCCGCATGTTTAATAAACACCCTGTAAATAGATGTCATTAGGTGGAATTCGTCTTCTCTAGTTCAAAACTTTTTTCTTTTTCTTTTTTGTTGAAATTTTTGGACATGATTCGCAAGTTATCCTTCTTATCCTTGTCTATGGGCGACTTGTAATTTATTTGTATTTCCAAGGAGTTACCAATCGTATATGTAAGCTATGTTAATATTTTGTTTTTTAGTCGTCTTTTCAATTTATCGTATGTTTTTGCAGTATGTCTGTCTTGAACATGCTAGTATTATATTTTATGTGAGGGTATACTTGAATAATAGCTTGTTTGAAACGTTTTTTCATCAATCGTGTGAATAACTGCCCATTCACTTATAACCAATTAAAAAAGGTAACTTACTGTTGTATATAAGAATTGTAGTACAGTGTGTACTATTTATTACTATCGATAAAGCTTCAGTGTTAGCAAAACGCCTCTAGATTTGAAAAAATTGTTCAGTCACCATCATCATGTATCAAATAACGGGGCAGTCCATTCATGATCTATCCATATATTTGAAACTAAGGTGGAACTGTTCTCCCTATATCGACACCTATCGACAACAACAACAATATCGAGAAATATTTTTCTGTAAACGTCAATTTGATTTAATTGGCAGCTTATTTCTCTCATCCAGGTGTTTTTGACACGATGTTTCTATAAAAATTAAATCACACTCTAACGTTTAATAAGGTTTTTGGTATATTTATGTTTCAATATAAGATTGAGGAGAGTACTCACCCACTACATAGTACCTTCTGATTGTCCGAAGTAGCATACTGAGTGTACAAGCAGCAATTGATTGTAGAAGGCCCATTGATAAAAATACTAAGTTCAGTCTATGTATACCCAAAGTGCACACCACATATGACTGTAAAAAATAAAAATCGAATAGATAATTCACAAATATATACAGTGCATTCCATTTGAAACGAGCCACTCTGAATAACTTTTGGCACAATGATTTGTAGGAAAAATAAAAAAACACTTCAACCATAGTATACAGGGGGACACATTTTGACATATTCACATTTGATGTTACTAACCCTATCGCATCCCCAGAGCATGTTACCATTTTTTTAATGGATCACCCTATATTGTTTCGCATTATCAGATTCTCCATAATGAGCAGATTACAACAAAGTATAAAACATATATGGTCTGAAGCTTATGGTTCAGGAGCTACAAGTTCTTTGAGTTGAAAACGAGCCACCCTGAATACTTTTTGGAACAATGATTTTCAGAAAAAATAAAAAAACACCTCAACAATTGTATACAGGGGGACAAATTTTGACATATTCACATTTGATCTAACTTTCCCTATCGCACCCCCAGAAGATGTCACTTTTTTTCAAATGGATCAATGGTTTTGCATTATCAGATGTTCCATGATTAATATATTTCAACAAAGTAGAATACATTATGGTCTGAAGCTCATATTTTGGAAGCTAAAAATTATTTGAGTTGAAAACGAGACATCCTGAATGAACTTCTGTACTTCTGTGAAGTATACTTCACAAAAGCACCTATGATTGTTTGTTGATAATTATAGTTACATGAATTGAAACGATTGTTGATAATTTTAATTTGGCGCTAGTTTGGAGCGGATTCTTGCAGAAGCTGAATTTTCAAATCTGGCAACATGATAGTCTAATGATAGTAACACAATATTCCGTCCGACCGCAGCGCCGAATAAAAATTGTCAACAATCAATTTAATTCATGTATCAGTGTATTACCTAAAAGCAACAATCAAAACAATTCATTTTTACAAAATACCAATAGAAAGTAAAACGGCTCATAAACATATTTTGAATACCGATCCAAACTTTACACAGATTCGATTTCTCCCACCGGGCATGACTCAGTCTGGGAGCTGTATATAAAGGTTTACTAGCCATTTGAAATGGTTATGTCATGTTACTATATCTGCTGGATGTTTTGAAAGTTTTCTGCTTACTTACTTTGCTGAAATCGGCGTACATGAACGCCTGTTCAATTCCTATGAAAACAGCTAAAGGGGCTGCCATTTGCAGTCTTTTATCTCTGAAGCTCTCCCTTACTGCTCTCAGAGCGGCTAAGCTTTCCCCTCTCTCCAAAGGATCCTATAAGGGAATAATTTCAATTTGAAATCTTTGAGAAAGCTCTTCACGAAAAACTGTTTCGAATAATTGACGTCATGTGAGACATGGTTTTTGTTCACAATTGAGTATTGTTCACATTTGAAAACGTTTATGTTCAGTCTTATTTATAGTTTCATTTATATTTGTGATTGAAATGTGATTGTGAGTTTCCAAACGTTCAACGACAAGAGTCATTTGAGGTATCAAGACTAGTTTGCAAAATTGTCTCCAAATAGAATCATTTCGAGTACCTACCAATATATACGCCCTGATATTTGATTCCATTAACTTAATGGATTTCAATCTATGTTCGAGCCAGCCTTTGATAATCAAAAAATCACTTTCTACATCATCTTTCGAAGTGGACCAGTTTTTAGCCTCATAAAATATTACATTATCATCTGCATAATCAATAACATGTCCCTTGGATTTCATTTTGAACAAATCGTTAATGTATAGGTCAAATAAATTATGATCCAGTACCATTCCTTGGGGTACTCCTCATTTGACAAGTTTTTTCGCTTAGTCGCTCGTTTATTTTCACAACTTTTCTTTGATGTATATAGCTTTAAAAAATTTCGAAACAAATTTCTTGTATACCATATCTTTCTGTTGTGTTCAAAAGTAACCGATGATCGACAGTATCAAAGGCCTTCGTTAGGTCGATAATTAGACAAAGACATACTCTGTTGTTTCAAAAGATTTGTGTATTTGTTCAGTTGATGTTAGTAAAGCTTCTTCTGTTGAGGTTTTCTCTTCTATTCCAAATTGATTCTGTGATATTTGAAGTTATCGATAGCATTCTATATATTTTCATCTAGTTGTTGCATGAAATAATTCATAATAATTTACAGAATACACAAGCCAGCAAAAAAAAATTTTTGAAATCTTTGTTTACTTTAATAGCTGATTTTTATAGATTTTTGTGTACTGAATCCAAATCTGGTCTTAGTTTTTTTGTATCACCCATAGTTTTTGAGAAATTAACTTTTTTATATAATTTAAAATCTACGGTTTATGGTAAAATTAATAAAACACAATGTTAATTCATTATCATGGTTTTTATGGACAGTAGATTACTTGAAATAGTGATACAGTGTTGTGATGTAGGTTTCACTAGTCAGATGGAATTAATTTATACTCATTTTCTCTTTTTTCTTTGAAGTTTCTTGTGTAGCTTTTCCTGTGATGAGTCGCATGTTGAGCTTCACGGTGAAGTGACCAACAGTAGTCTCCTATTATGTTGAAGTTCCAGCGGCTTTGGTAACGTTTTTCCATCAATTTAACATTTCCCAATTTTTCCGCGAAGTATTCAAGATGACTGTTCAAGAAGTGAACTTTCAGGCTTATCAAACATCCTAGTTTCTTAAAATTCTTCAACATGTTTCAATGATGGGTGATATTCTGGGTCTTTTGCATTTCCTAAAAATTTTTTAACAATTTGCTTGAATGAGATCCATGCTTCCTTCTCATGTATGGTCATTGCGGTTTCAAAGTTTACGTCGAACATCATTTTTCGAATGTCGGGTCCTACAAAGACGCCTTCTTTAAGTTCAGCCACTGAAAGGTTTGGAAATTTCTGACAGAGATACTTGAAACAAGATCCATCTTTAGGCAAAGCCTTTATAAACTGTTTAATGAGACCTAACTTTATATGTAGAGGCGGGAAGAGAATTTTTCTAGGATCTACAAGCTTTTTGCGGAGAATGTTCCTCTCGCCGGGTTTTAAAGACTCCCTCACAGGCCTGTTCATTCTGCCCCAATGTTGATACCTTGCTCTACTGTCCCATTCACACAAAAAACATGGACATTTGGTAAAACCGCATGCTTGTTACTTTCAACTCACCACATATCATCCAACCATTAGCCGAATAGCCAATTTTATTCAACACTATTTCTAGGTTTTCATAGGTCTCTTTCATATTTAGAGAATGGCCAACAGATATAGATGCATAAGTGTTACTATTGCGCAATAAAACAGCTTTTGAACTTGCAGCCTCTAGTCTTCTTCTTTGCTGCTGCTGCTGCTGCTTTCTCTTCCTATACACATATATGCTAGTTCCAGCTGTCAACAATTTCTTTTCTTTCAGTCTAGAACCAAGCAATTCAGCTTTTTCTTTTGTTAATCCAAGATCCCTAAGTCGTTAGGCTCAATCTGAGTAAACAGTTTAGGCTCTATATTTGCTGTAGCACATTGGAACTCTTCATCATCTTGCTCATTTATATCTGACAGTACATCAGAAAACATTTCAGTTTGAACAGAGGTTCTGGGACCGGCAAATCTACATCGTGCCCTACTGGTTGGATGAAGTAAATTAGGTTAGGGTAGCTTCTTGTTTTTCGAGTTATAGCCAGTAATATCAATACTACAAAAGTAGCAATCATCAGTGTGGTTTCTAGGTTCCCTCCATACCATACCCTCCATACCATACCAGCGTTCTTTTTTCTCATTTTTTTACCATTTCCTAAGATCTTCAACACAAAAATAACATACTTTATGCGGGGCCCAAGATTTATCCTGATCACCAAGTTCAATTCCAAAATATGAGAAATAAATCTTTTTCACAAAGTCTGTAATGTTTCTTTGATGTTTTTTAATAACAAACTCACTACAAATATAACAAAAACTGTCAGCAGAGTTCTTACAACCGCGATTAGACATTTTAATGAGCATATGTACTGGAAACCAGAATGTAAGGTTAGGTTGACTGTAAACAAAACATTAGCTGTGAACAGAACAATGTAATTCCCCTTTTTCTGGACAGTAAATGCACAGTATACTATATACAGTAATCCCACTTCGGGTGATTTTTGGTTTGAATTTTCTACACGCAGACCCAGGAGTTGCAGTCTCAGGTCTGCGCAAACGACGAGTTCAAGACAGGCACGCAATCAAAGCGTTTAAACACTGCTCAACATAACAAATATTCATGAATGAACCAATAGGAACGCGCGGACGCGACGCGGCGCGGCTCACGCCCAGAGTTGCCAACCGTAGCGGAATTTACTCGTCGGTAACGGCGTAGCAGATTTTCACTCATATCATAAACCATATAACCTCCAATATCTGGAAACTTAAACGTCTCGACTGTCTCGAGTATTATAAATTACAGTGGAAATGGAAGATAGTTCATCTGTTTAAAATCTGATTGTTCTAAAGGTTCTAAAGATATTAAAAGAAGACCTCGTTAGTCCTTAGCTCGCACAAGTTTCTCAACTTCTAAGAGTTGTCGTTCGTATGGGGGAGACAGCTGATTAACGAAAAAACAGATTTTAAACAGATTTCAAACGTGTTGGACATATCGCGCATGAATATTTGGGTATGCGAAAGCTCTCTTCAAAATGGGTTTCGAGCGAGCTCACAATCGATATAAAATGAAACAACGAATTGATGATTCTGAGCAGTCCTTGAAGTTGTTCCTACATGAAAAACACTAATTAATGCATCGATATGTGAGAGTGGATGAAACATGGCTCCATAATTGCACAACAAATCAAAACGACCGTTATCTGCACGCCATCTGCACGTGGTGAACCAACTCCAAAGCAACAGTCAGCTGGCGAAGGTATGCTATCAAGGATGAACATGGTATAATATTGTTGTAGATCATGCCCGAAAGAAAGTAACGCCGGCCGCCACTGGTAACCACAAACCAAACGTGACGTAGCGGAGAGCGTGGGAATGATCAATGTTCCCTGTCGCTCGAGAAGCAGCAAAAGAACTTCGGCGAAAATTCCACGATGTTTGATTGTGATATTTAAACGCTGGCTGCGGGCATATCTGGACAGTCAAGTACACAGTGAAGTGGATGTTACAGTGCGGTACGCGAAGTGATCTAGTGAGGCGATCGACATTCAAATAATATTTGAAATTTTTAGTTGAAGTATTTGTTGTATTTCAAGTGAAATAAGGTTAAGTTTGATTATTCAATGTAGTCAATTATTGGTGAACCCACGGGTGAAAACGTAACAATATTCATCGACTGTCTTGAAAAAGAAAACACATCAATATCGACCATTATATAGCGTTATTGGAGCATTTGAAGAACGAAATCGCGGAAACACAGCCCCATTTGGAGAAATAGAAAATGCCGTTCCATCAAAACAATGCTCCGTGTCACAAATCAACGAAAACGATAGCAAAATTGCATGAATTGGGCTTTGAATTGCTTCCACATCCACCGTATTCTTCAGATCTAGCCCCCAGTGACTTTTTCTGTTCTCCGACCTCAAGAGAATTCAGTGCTGATGAAGGGATAATACGTCGAAACTGAGTCCTATTTTGAGGCTGAATACAATTCGTACTATGAAAATGGTATCGAAAAATTGTACAACAAATTGATATTTTTCGATTCCGGAGAGGGAGCCTGAAAATCAGCTACCAATCCCCAGGCAGCAGGCGCGCAAAAGGGGGTTACAAATAAGGCAGCAGGCGCGCGTGTCAATAAAAAAATTCTTATTTCAAATGAAGGAATACATGTAAAGTGAGTTCGAATTATATCAAAGAGGTTACATACAGCGCCATCTGCCCGCGAATAGATCAAGCAAAAATTGCGATAAATTAAGGAGGTTACGTAGAGCGCCATCTGCCCGCGAATAGATCAAGCAATAATGTCGATAATTCTGTCAAATACAGATCCTGAGCTTGAGAGTTACAAACAAACATACATATACCGGGTGTCCCACATTTTATGTGACAGGCAATATCTGGTTTGTTGAAGGAGATACAAAAAAATGTTTCATACAAAAGTTTTAGGAGTTCATGAGAGCTATATTTTGATATAATTTTNTGAGCTTGAGAGTTACAAACAAATATACATATATACATACATACATACAGGTGAAGCTGATGAAAGTGTGTTGAAAATGGTATCTATACTCACGTCTGTAACAATTGTAGCGTTATCGAAGGCTTTTATTTCACTTCGTAGATTTACCGTATACGTTATGAGAATCGCTGATAACACAGAACCAAGGATCATTCCAAAGTCGTGAGCACTCTGAAAAATTCAATAAATTAAAATGATGCTATTTTTATAATAATATCATTAAACAGGTTGAGAATATCCAGAATGAATACTCAAAAATGAGTCCATAAGTTTACAGTAAATTGAAAAAAAATCACATTTACTGAAGCACTAATCAAAATAATCTAAAGTTCCCTATCGCTAGAAGCAATGTATCTATTCAAGGAATATTTCATTTCAAACTGGCTGGAAATAGCAACCACGACAGATTAACAAATAAAATTGAAGACAAAAAACACTATCACAAAGAAAACAACAACTTCCGAATGGAAACGCCTGTACCTATTTAGTTTACCGGATTTCTATGAAGATACATTAATACAAAAGTATAAAAATGAGTTTATTCAACACAAATACCAACAAAAAGCAACTGCCTGTTAGTACCTTTATAACAAAACTTAAACTTATAAAAATATAATGCAATTCCTACGAACGATTAGATGAAGGCTAATAAATCAATAAAACCCAAGAAAATTGGTTACAATTTGAGCGTGACTAATTACCATTCAGAAGGAATCACAAATGCCATCTTTAAAAAATCTACAACAAATTTTGTGTTTGAAATGTATTTAAGTACTCAAAAATACTTGAAATATTGACACTGGCAGACGGTGATTGTACTCTAATTCAGAAAAATGTTTAGAAGTGGTAAAAGCTTTTTATAGAAGGTCGAGAAGATGTGAATGACAACGATTAGAGAAGTTGCTGAGTATGTTGGCATGTAAGCTTATTCCATCACTGTTTAAAAAGTATAACTGAAGAGGATCTTAAACTCTTTTTTGATAAAGAGCATTTAGAGAATAGGTTGTTTTTTTTTCTGAATATGATTTGGGAAATTTTTTTTGAGACAAAACTGATTTATCCAATATTATTTTTCTGCTAATTCCCATTCCAGTATACCATAAGAAATATGTGACTGAGATAGCGTAATATACAATGTTTCGAGAAATCCCAAGTCTAGAATATTCTCTTGTGTTCTGAAACGGTGAATCAGAAATTGTAGTTCTTGATAAAGAAATGTATGTGCAACTGTCAATTCAAGTTATTGTCAACATTAATTCCGAGATATTTGATATATTGAAGTGATAACAAATGAGTCTGAAACATTCAAAGACATGAAAGAAGAATAATATCGAGCACTGGAAAATATAGACAAATAATATTTTTCATTATAATTTATGATGGGAAGTTGGAAAACCATTTTGCACAGTATGATCTGCTACAAGTTTTTTTGTATTGTCTTCATTTGAAATGGTGGTATCATCAAATTAATCTTAACTCTTTATTGATATTGACTACTTTTCTAGGTCCAATGTTCTTACTTTAGCTTCAACTTCTAAGCTCATCAATAATTTAGTTTACTTGGCATGTACATAATATTTTACTTTTATTTTTTTAGTTTCTCTATGTAGTTGATTCATCATGAGAGTTTTATAATATAAAATCTAATATAGAAAGTAGTATGACAATTATCAAGACATACTAATAACGTTGAAGACAACAGCAGAAAGCAAATACAGCTTTGATGATAGTAAAATGGAGAAATGGCAGAAGATTAGTGAATCATTCACGGAATCTGAATGCAATACTTATATTTCTTTTGTATAGAAACCACTCAGAGACTGTTCAATCATCAATCAATCAGGAATGTCTACTGTTTCGAAAATTCACAATCCGCATGTAACAAGCTGGATTAAATAAATGGTAATTTCCGTCGACAACCCTCCATTGCTTATCCCTCTCACAAGTTTGGTCTCTTGAGACAGTTCGTATTATTTCGAAACTTTTTTGAATATCAAGCGATGAAAAGCGGCTGAGGGAATTCACAAAGTTTGTATCTACTTTAAATTCAGCGATTCCACAGGGAATCCCTTTAAGCGAATGGTTTATCAGATTGCGCTTTGCTAGCAAGGGGTTATGAATAATAATTGAAAAAAGTTTCGAGGGTTTCTTGAGAGAGTTTGCTCTGGAATCCCTGAACTGAAGTTGATGTTCTTGGGTGAGATTGACGTTTTTTGGGATTGAGTGAATGTCAGTTTTGAACTTCAACACTGACATAAAACTTTGCAAGTTGACTCGGGTGTCACACCAATAGGTGGTTCCCGTCAATTGGCCGCCTAGATCGTGAGATTTAGCGCCTTTGGATTATTTCTTGTGTTGGCATGTTAAGGCTCATGTCTACAGGGATAAACCAGCAACGACTGACGCTCTGAAAGCCAATAGTGAAGCTTTTATACGTGAAATACCAATCGATATGTTAGAGAGAGTGTGCCAAAATTGGACCTTGCGCATGGGCCATCTAAAGCGGAGCCGCGGACAACATTTGCATGAAATCATCTATCTTCAAACATTAAATTATATTGATCGTACTATCGATTCCAACGAAGATTTCATCAATTTTTTCAAATTTTTTATGTTGTTTTGAAAATCAAATCCTATACCTCTTAAAAAATCACCCGTTACTACCTGTTCCTCTAATACCTCTAATTTGTTATGTATTTCCTCAATGTTAGTGATGTTTTTCATCAGTTCATAATGTTGAATATTACTACAAAAACAGTTGTAGAACAAAATACAGTGTGTAACAACAAAAACTTAACAGAGCCGTTTTTGAATATAAAAAGTAAGATTTAAAAAAAAACTCGGACACGTTGATTTCTAATTAAAGGGAGATACCTTTCAGACTAATCAGATTTTTTGTAGTACCCACCCCCTCGGAGGGGTCCGTTCGACGACCCTTATTTAGATAGGGAAAGTAGGTCGAGTGGCACCTTGTTTTGTTTATGCTACACAGCCAGCCAATTGAATTGAATTACGTCGTAAAATTATTGATGAATGCTGAGTTATAACTACTGAGATGTTGAATAATGTAAGAGCAAAATTCGAACAAAATCTTTATTGTTGCATGGAGCAAAATGGCGCACATTTTGAACATTCACTCTAAATTTCCTATGTGAGTTACCCTTATTAAGTGTTACTTTTTTGTATGTGCTTTAAAAATAATTATAGGAATTTATTAACCCTTAAACAGGTTTTTAAACTTTTCTGTGTCATCAGCATTCAAGGAAATCAGCAGGTTGTATTCGTTGTGTAGGTAAGTTTTTAGTATGATTCACTTTTTTATCAAAAGCATAAAATATCCACGTCAAAAGGCAACCTTCATAAGGAGGTGCCACTCGATTTACCTAAAATCTAAGGGTGGTAACCAACCCCATCTCCCGAAAAAATCTCCTCGTAATAAACAAATAATTCTCACTTTTTTACGAAATCAAATGGACACGAATTAGCAGCTAGTCATAAAAAGCAAAAATTTATTTTTTTATGAAAGTTCTGAATGCAAATTGTACCTCAAAATCAATTTGATTTATTTTAAAAAGAGTTGAACTCAATAAAAATACCTTTAAATCTCCAAATTATCTCGAAAACTAATCGTTACAAAAATTTTCTCTTGAAAGAGATGTAAAGTTATTCGAAAGACCTTCAAAACAAGGTGCCACTAGACCTACTTCTCTTATCTAAATAAGGGTCGTCGGACGCACCCCTCCGAGGGAGTGCGCACTACAAAAAATCTGATTAGTCTGAAAAGTGTCCCCCTTTAATTAGAAATCGACGTGTCCGAGCTTTTTTAAAAAATCTTACTTTTCATATTCAAAAACGGCTCTGTTAAGTTTTCGTTGTTACACACTGTATATTATTTCATCAATCTACTCACTTGGAAGGCTCGTGCTACTCTTCTGACGATGCAAGTTCTCCTAGCTTGTCTGGCTTCCTCCTCTTCTTCGTGGAAGAGTCCTGTTATTCTATGGGAGAGGATCATCAGGAAAGAAATATGCGCACAGGACATCAATCCTTGGAGAACACCCAACAACAGACACGCAGGGATTGTCACGTAAAGAACGGGGTATAGGTGGGACAGATAGAAGATTATCATCGCACCTGGAATCGTGAAAGTAATAATAATGAACTTCAATGTTATGCAGGATTCAGTTAGCATTCAATTTCAACAATAGATCGTATTTAGTCATTAATAAATAAAACTGATTACAATAGTGTTCATTCTGATTTGTCATTCGATTGGTCTGTTCTCTTGATTGAAAAATGTAATTCGATAATGGGAAATCGCAACTGCATCTTTTAGTAATGAACTCACCATGTGAAATAGCTATGACTACGCTGGGGCTAACTCTCCTGAGTATACAGGGCGCAACCAAACTAAAAATGGCCGCCACGGCGTAGGAACCAGAAAGGAGGAGAGATCCAGTTGTGATATCTGGCATTACGTCACTGGAAGGCCTATGCCAGACCGAAACTGAAGTCTGGAGAGCTAGGAAAGGTAAATACGCTGCCGACGAGAGGAGATGGCTGATGCATATCACCACCAAATTAGCTAAGAGGACGCGTTTCGTGTAGATGGGGCTACCGTTGCGACCTGTAATGATTTTCGATGGTTAGAGTAGGAGGACCACATGGCGATAAACTCATAATCCTGTCAGTTTGATTAGAGAAAAATAACATGTTCAGTATGGAAAAATTAGCAAATATACCTGATTGACCACCGTTTCCCGGACCCCTCACAACAGCTAGAAGTCTTCTAACAGATGTCGCACCAATCGAACTATTCATGGAGTCCCTTCTTCTGGGCCCGCCCTGTAGATGTAGGTTACAACGCGATCTCGTAGAAACTGGAGAATAAGCAGCCATATGCTGGAAAATCGTCTAATTCACCATCACTGTTATTCGGTAATGAAAGTATGGAAATTATAACATTTGTCAAGTTCTGTCTGGAATAGGTATTAACGAATAACGTACGGTTTTCGATATACCGTAGGTATTTTGAAAACTAGTACTTCTGGAACAAAGAATATTCCCAGATGAACCGAAGATTGCCAAAGTGGTTCCCATTCCCAAAACCAATAATAAAACTGATGTGAATATGTTCAGACCATTTTCAGTACTACCAGTCTTTTTGAAAATCTTGGAACAACTGCTTAAAAACAGAGTCGTTTCTTATTTCGAGGGTAAACAACTATTTGCTAAAGAGCAGTACGGTTACCGTACAAATATAAAATCATCAAATGTTTTATAAAAAGTTTTAAAGTAACTTTTCCAACACACTAGAACTGAAACACGATTTCGAAGAGATTTCACCAACCTAGTTAGTATCATCATGATATCATCTTCCAATGATGCAGTGTGTGGGAAAAATATTTTGTTGAATTCTTAACATCCCATGTAACGGTTTTTTCGATTATGTATTATCGACTTATATATAAAAAAATTGTGTCATTTCTTCAGTCCACGTGGACTAGCTGGCAGCGGCTTTATCTCTTTGTCTTGGTTTTTTTGGCTTTTGTGGGCGCCGATAGCTTTAAGTATTCACGAAAAAGATTACTTCGACTATATAAAAAAATAGCGGTTGGGACCAATAAAGGGTTTCAACTGTTGAACTTCATGGGAGACATCCTTGGCACGCCAAATCACGGATAAAATTCATTAACAGGTGACATATAGCTTTAAATCTATTACCCGCTTTGAATTCTATCTCATTTCGGTGAATTTCCCGTTCCTGGAAATCCGTAAACCCTAAAGGCGATGAAACTCAATCAGGACTTCGACGAACTGATATTTCATCGATTGCGCTTCTACCAGCGAGAACTCGGGTGTCTCATATTTGAATATCTTCAATAATTTCCATGGAATGGGAAAATTACTTTTCCGAATTCAACTCTTTCCAAGAAAAGACATGAAATAGACAAGAGGTTTATGTTTCAAGTTCTCGTTAATCAAGGCATGGAATGCGAAATTTCATATTCGTTAACTGGAATGAAAACGACTATATTCATATGAAAAATCAGAAAAATCTATTAATTGCATTTCCATGGAATATTGAAAAAATCGTGATTTGATCTCCGAGGTATAGATGTCAACATTTTTTTCCCAAAAGCACGCATTCTCAACCACGCTGTCTGTGAAAGTGTGCAGGGGAACCCGAGGCAGTCAACTTCACATCGCTCGCAAGAACGCGGCCTTCCGCAGACCACAACCTGAAGAATTTTGCGTCGTAACTTCGGCCTGCAACCGTTCAAAAACTGGCCCAGGAACTGAAGTTTAAAGACCATAGACAACGATGTGTAACACAGCTCTGCGATGAAAAAATTTGTAGGATATTTAATTAGTTACGTTAACAGTATTTTGTGTGCAGATTACGGAAAAAATAGTAAAAAAAAACTATCACCTATAGATAAGTCACAAATTTCACCTGAAAGTTTCTTATTAAATGGGTTTTTAGGTTCGATATGGGTTCGATGTTTCTGTATAATATAGTTTGAATTATGGAGCTTTTGTGATGAACTAGTTACCTACTACACAATGTCAGTGTATATCTAAGATAAAATACGGTTTTAATCTATTTATTTCAATAACAAAACGAATCTAAACTGGGAAAATCCAGTTCCTACTGGAACAAGGCATGTATGTGTCAGTCTGTCTATCTCCTTCCTAAACCTACTATCTGCTGGGCGCCGGGCGTGACCTTAGGTTTGTTCTGGTTCTGCGAAATTCAGGTTCTAGGACGTCAGGATCATGCTTAGTTGATATAGAGCGTTCTGGTTTAGTGAGGATAATTTCGGACTGATGAATCCTCTGTTCTGGTTTTGACTGCGAAATGATCCTGAACTGTTTTGAACCGTCCCGAATCGTTCTTCCTCTCGAGGCTGAACTGTTGAGAACTGTTCCCGTTGCTCATGCGCATTTAGGTGGAAATTTGTTTGGGCTATTTTCTAGTATGTTTTTTTCATTTATTTGATTTAAATAATTGATGATTGAGGTTAGATAACATTTGGACTACAAGGATACGCTACAGACATGATCAACAGTATTTTCTCGTCTTCATCTCTTTATATATGCGATAGGTGGCACAGTGGTCTCCTCAAAAGCGTTCTGGTTTAAACAAGTGTCCGAGACTATTTCGGACTGTTTGAGATTTTTTTGTTTGTACGCACCATGTCTTGCGCAGTTTCCAAACGTTTTGGGATATTAGAACCAGAACATACTTGTTAGTTGCAGGCAGTGACTCGATCAGTGTGGAGCCAGCCACTGTGGTGTACACATCAAACAGTTTTGTGCTACCATTTCGAGAAGAAATAGGTACTAGAGGATGTGTTAACCCTCCTGACAGTGTCTGTTATATTTTTGGGTCTTATACCATCAAGAAGCAACAAAGGAATATTTCTAATTTTGTTCAGAAGGTGTATTTTGCATACTTTGGTAATAAATTAGGGGACCAAGATGAATCTTGGGCTCCCCATATAGTGTGTTCTGTGTCTGTTGAAGAACTTAGACAATGGTTTCAAGGTAAAAAAAATCATTTCGTTTTGGAGTACTCATGTTTTGGAGAGAGCCTGAAAATCACAGTGATGACTGTTATTTTTGTTCTTGTTCAGTGCAAGGTTTCAATTCAAAAAACAGAAAGGATATTTCATACCCCACCAACATACGTTCAGCTGTTCGCCCTGTTCCTAATGGACCTAACTTGCCTAATCCTTCACCTCCGGATACCTTGGACAACATTTAAGACGATTTAGACGCAAAAACACATAGTAGCGGTAGCGACAGTGATGGCAGATACGATCCTGGTACCGATGACCCTGAACTTTTCTCTCAATCAGACTTGAATGATTTAGTACCAGATCTGGACCTCCTAATGGACTCAGCAGAAGTTTTAGGGTCTAGACTTGAAGAAAGACATCAAGACAGTCAAGCGGCGTTGAAAGCTCTTGGCTCCTACCGAGCAACGTCTAAATTTGTAGCAAACTGCCAAAAACGACTCTCCTCGATAGGAACACTCAACAGATTGTCTCTGATCTGGATTCCTGGCCATACTGGCCTGCAAGGCAATGAAGCTGCTGACTGTCTTGCAAAGGAAGGTGCTGCAAGCGACTTCATCGGACCAGAACCTGTCATTGGCATCGCTTTAGGCTTTGTCAAAGAAATATTGAACACCTGGATGGCAAGAAGATATATAGACTTCTGGCAGAATCTTCCAGGATTGGCTCACTCCAAGACGTTTATTCATTCCTCGAAGCTTGATACCAAACAGTATTTGGACTACAGTAGGGATGAACTACGATGTCTAACAGGCCTTCTTACAGGTCACTGTCATTTGAATCATCCAGAGACTTGGACTGTCGGAAGACAGTATGTGTCGCCTCTGTCTGAAAAATGATGAAACAGCAGAGCATATACTTTGTGCCTGCCCCGCTGGGGACTGAATGAGGTTCTTAGAGTTCAGCAGATCCGTACTCTCATCATCTGACCTGAAAAATCACTCACCATACAAACTAATCGGCTTCGTTAAGAAGGTGGGTTTATTTGGCCGAGTGTGAATGGGTGTGAGCCACAATAAACCCTTGTGGGTTGCGGTGGAGGGTCGATTAGACCCACTCACTTTAGACCTACCTACCTACCTCGATGATTTTTGATAGGGCGCTTTGTTTCGAAGATACGGGACAAAAATTAATTTCGACAATAACAATTTTGGTAATTTTGAAATTTCAACCCGAAATGAAAGTATAGCGTACTACACTAAACCTACAAAGTAATAAAAAAATCTAACAATTCCGTTGGTACCTATCAACAACATTCCGATTGCTACAAAAGGCTGCAGACATTCAATTTGAATGGTTTGCTTCGTCCTCGTAAGTGGTCATTTATTTATGTCATAGGTTGAAAGTGATCGACTTTGTGATTGAATGGGTATAGTAACACAGAGATGGCTGACATGCATTTCATTTATGGACTTGCTGATGACATTTCATTGGAAGCTAGGTGGTTGTACAGTGAACGATTTCCTAATCTCAATGTGCCTGATAGAAAAACCTTTCAAAGTATACATCAACGATTTCGTGAAACATGAGTACTGAAGCGAAATGGAGGACCAGGAAGGCCAATGGCAGTAAGACCGGTAGAAGTAGAGGAGAATGTGCTGGGCATGATAGAAGAAGATCCAGGTACTTCTACTCGAAACATTGCAAATACTTTAAATGTAAGTAACAAGACGATTTGGAACATTCTTAGAGACTATTTGTTGTATCCACACCACAACGAGTTCAGGTACTTCTTTCTGCAGATTTTATTCCACGTATTGTATTCTGTCAAAGGCTTTTGCGCATATTGGTTCAAATCCCTCAACGACTGACGCTTATTCTTTTCACCGATGAAACCAGTTTTTTAAGAAATGCCTTAAGGGATACCTACAAAAACTATGTTTAGGCTGAAGATAATCCACATGAGGTTCTTGAAGATCACTTTCAACACAGTTCTTGTTAAACGTTTGGGTGAGAATTGTAGGTGACTTCCTAATTGGACCGGTATACCGTAACTTTTTGGAACAAACTCTACCTCAGTTTCTGGAGGATGTATCATTGCTTACAAGAAATGCAACGTGGTTTATGCAAGATGGTGTACCAGCGCATTTTACCATATTAGCTCGAGAGTTCGTAACAGTAGCATACGGAGATCGTTTATGGCCTGCTCGATCACCAGACTCAGACCCCGTGTATTATTTCCTATAGGACCACCTAAAGTCATTAGTTTATACTATTCCAGTGGAAAATTTGAAAGTTTTTAAAAATCGTTGTTTTTGAAAGATTTCGAGAATCGATGAGGAGAAGAATGGATTCTCGCATCCGAGCGGGGCGTAGTCATTTTCAACAGTACTTGTTGATTAAGAAACATTACATGTAATTTTTAGTAATGAATTGTTATTGTCAACATTCATTTTCGCCCTATCAAGCGCCCATTCAAAAATCATCAAAGGACAGAATATCCTTAGAATAAACCAAGGAATTGTCCCACATGTTTAATAAACACCTTGTAGAAATACCTACTGTGATTCTAACTTTGTATCCTTTATCAAGGAATGGAAATTATTATCATTATAGTTGAGTATAGCAATGAATTCGTGGTTCTGCCCTGTATTTGGGATCTGCTCTCGACTAGTTGCCTTGCATTGGAAACTGCAGTGGAAACTATTTTTTTCTCTCAAATATTGTATTATATTATTATATCCTTCAGATTTTTATACCTCTACCATGGCGTCATCGTACACTATCTTGTTGGAGTCATGAGGATTGCTTCTGGCCTTGGTGATTTTGTTGTGTCCGGAATACCTATGAAGGATCTTGGATTTTTCAGCATTTGACAGAGCTCCGTTACATCCTCCACAAAGATGTCCCAATGCCGGACCTGCGAAAACAAAAAACGCACTAGGAAAATACACTATCCTCGTACAATACTGATGTATCTTGAACGTTTTTGAATCTGCATCAATTTTCTTTCATAAACATAACCACCCGAATGATGACTGACTTTTATTCACGTAGTGTTACAACTGTTTTTTTAAACGAGGCGTACTGAGTTGAACCTCAAAACGTACCCCTCTTGGTGGAATCAAATGCGCCAAGTCACTTAAACACCTCCCGTGAAAGTATTCATAGAAGAGAGATAAATCTCCAACCTGTTTCAGACTATCAAGGTTTCACGTGATGAAATCTAGCAGCTTCACGGTATGTTTAGGGGCGGAGCCCCAAACATGAGAACACTACTGATCTGAGCTTTATAAATCATCAAAAGATACCGAGGTGTGTACAGTACAAAAGCTTGGAACAGTGTTTCAAGCTTTTGAGAAGCAGCCCTTGCAATTCCAGCGACATGATTGTGCCAAGACATATTGGTATCCATTTTAACTCCCAACAAACTTATCGAAGCAGAAAGCGGAATTGTCTGACCTGACATTATTATATCCGGTTCGGAGACATTTATATCTTTGGAGAAAATAGATGTCTGGGTTTTTGTGGCTTGCATTGAACATGGTTACGTTCACCCCAATTTGAAATTACTTCTAGATCCTCATTAAGATATTCAACCTCCTGCTGTCGGCGAAGATGTGCCTCCGTAGCCGATGTCCTGAAATCCAAATGAAATGACGAGGCAAGTTTGCTGTCGTCAGCAAAGCAATATACCTATTGGATTCTTGGTTTTTTCCAATAAGTCATTGATATACAATAAAAAGAGGGTTGGAGACAATATGGATCTTCGGGGCACACCAGCGTTGATGGTGGAATAATTCGAGATATATCCATCGACGGCCAATTGCAGGGATCGTTCTTTTAGGAAGCTGAAGAGTTATACACAAAAATGATCCGACAAGCCATAGCTTATAAGTTTAACCAGCAAACCCCCATGCCACACACGGTGAAGGTCTTAGAAATATCAAACGCAACAGCTCTTGACTCTCCATGTTTCTCGATTGCATTATTCCAAATGTGGGTGACATACGATAGAAGATCGCATGTTGATCTTTGTTTCCGAGAGCCATATGGATGTGCGCTCAAAATGTTGAACCCTTCCAAATATTTGAGGATATGGTGGTTTGCTTTCTCCATGAATTTTGATATCATCGATGGCAAAGCGACTGATCTATAGTTATTTGGAAGAGTTTCCTTGACCTTTTTGGGAATAGGCTGAGCGCGATCAATCTTCCAATGAAAAGGAAAAACCCCTTTCTTGTGAAACAGTCGCAAAATACTGGTGCTAGTTCATTGACGCACTCTTTAAGTACGATGACGGGTACTTCATTAGAACAGACACCTTGTTGATATCGAGCTGTTTGAAAATTTGCTGACTAGACGTCGTCGAAAAGTAATTTCCGACATTGTGGATTCTAGTGTGTGGTCCAGAAAATGGACTGTGGACTTGGACGTAAATTGTTCAGTTAGTAGAACCATCCGTTTGTGTTAGTGGTGAAATTGTGGATTCTATAAAGTTCTGATTATCAGCTTTCGTTACTGACCAGAAGGATCTAGACTGGTTGGGATCGACAAGTAATTTATCCCTAATTATTTGATTGTGAAGTTTTTTTCTTTCATTTATGCTAAGTTTCCAGCTGTTGCGAGCATTACCAAACCTGGCTCGGTTTTCGGCACTGGAATTTTTGCGCCACTGCCGGTAGGCGAGTTTTTTGGAGGCGACAGCTTGCTCGCAATTTTTGTTGAACCAAGCTTTCGTGATAGAAGGTCGTTTTATTATAACAGGAATATATGCATCCATGAATGATAGAATAGCTTCAGTGACTTCAGAAGTTGATGGATCTTTAGAGCTGAAACAAACATCTAGCCAGGGGAAATTTCAGAAATGGTCTTGAAGATCCTCCCATTCAGCTGTTCTTTAATGCCAAACTTTGATCAGCTTTGATTGTTTCCCAACATTTATCGGTAATTCACTCACAACTGAAATGAGTTTCTGGTCAGAAGATTCCAATGAAGATCTTAATGTGACTGTGTGAATTTCTGGATTGGGGGTTAGATATAGATCCAGAAGACTAGCATATTTTTCATCACGGTCAGGAATCCTGGTTGACTCATATATAATCTGAGTGACTCCGCTGCTTATTGCAAGAGCCTGAGCTTCGCAATTAGCAGCGGGTCAAATATTTATTAAAAAACCATATTTCGAAACGTGCAGTAAGTAGTCTAACGAGAGCTGTCGTTGAGAAAACTGACAACAGTTCATATATCATTTGTAGGGCAATACAATAGTTACAGAATATTCCCAACTCACACTAGCACCAAACTTAGATATCTTTTTGGAAATCGTTCAGAAACGCCATGACTGGTATTGAATTATATAAATTTTCAATAGTTTTTACCTGGTCTATAACCTTGGTCTTCCCCTTCCGGTTTTCCCAATTCATGCAGATTTGGTAAGCTACCCATCCTGGAGCAATTCCTGAAGGTCCAACCATCACATACTATGGGTTCCTGGGTAGGTCAACTGAAGGTAGAGTTCATTCTGGGCCGCTGTTTTAGAGGTGCTCCGGCTTTTCTGGAAGTCATTGACTCCTTTTTCAAACTTTCCGGTAGATCTGAAAACAATAAGAAACTTGTGAAATATTAATAATGATATTTTTTCTATTGGAAGATACCTGTATGGATGGCAAAATATGTAAATGCAATATAGTGAGATCATACTGTGCGGACGTATATAACACCCCTCTTTAGAGCGGTGCTAAATATAAGAGTCTTATGAAATGTTTGTATGAAGGAATCATTTTTAGTGGTTTCTCAAATAGAAAGAGGGGTCTTGTAACATTTATTTTTAAAGGTATGCCGATTCACAATACAATGACCTTCACTTTTTTTTAAATTAAAGTGGGAGGGTGTATGTAGGCCCACAGCACTCGTCCACATGTGACCCGTTGTACATCCTCCCGAGGAGTTGTCCTCCTAGGTCATCGTCCATCCTGTCCTTTCCAGGAAGGTGGACAGGTCACTAGGAGACATCTCCTTTATATCGACAGGTATAGGCCGAACACACACTCTCGTTTGCAACCTTGAGGTGTCTTATGGCGGCCTCCGCGAAGGTTTTGGGAAATGCAGCGACATTACTGTCATTGCGCGGCTTTCAACCTTCTTGGGGTTCCCTCCGTAGAGGTTCACAAGTGAGGACGCTTTTCTGCAGGTTCCTTGCCTTCATTCTAGGCGGAGCTCTTGGCGCCCGCCGCAGAAGGTGCCTTTGCTTTTGGAGGTGGAGTGGGAGAGGAGAAGGGTGCACTCATAGTTGCTTCTACTCCAGCCACTTCCGCTCTCTTTCTCCTTTTGACCTGGGCGCCGCAAATGCACTTACGCCTTGGCCTTTGTCTTACATCACAAGATGATCTGCTATATCCAGCCTCATTCCGAGCGGTAGATTGGGGTGGACATCCCCAGTCACCGCCTCAGATTGAGGTGAGCACTTCTGCTCGGTCTCGGAATTGGTTTTTGTTGTGTCTGTTTTTGTGTTTGTTTCATTCACGTGTGTTCCCACAAGTAGCAAGGGAAGGATTGGTTACCTCTGGCAGAGCCCCGCATTACCAGAGGTAGGCTAGGCTGATCACAATGAGGTTTCGCCCGGTTCCCCAAGGAAATCGTTCGTAACCGCATTTCACCCTGCGGCCATTCAGCTGTCGGCACGATTTCTTACACCTTAGCTTGGGTAGGCTGGTCCACGTTGGCAGTTTTCGCGAAGGCTTTTGGGGGTGTTAGTTCCCCTCACCCATGATGCGGAGTTATTGTTGTTTCAATATGGGCTAGGAATTTTGTAAGTCCGCCACCCTATGTTACATTTTTCGAAATGAATTTATATTGAACAGGGAAGTAAATCAGTAACATCTTTTGCAATAGTCAAGTGTTGACTTCGAACACATGAAACGATAGATTTTTTTCAACCTCTCTATTATCTATCTAATACATGAAAAAATAAGTTGTGCAAATGTTCAAAATGTTCTCTTCGAACCTCCTGATAGTAAAACAATCTATTTTCGAACTCATTTATAACATTTTGGAATATTTCTAAGGTGATGTTAGCACACGTTTCAGTAATTCTGTCTACAAGCTCCCGTATTGTCCCAGATTCCATAATATGAGCTTTCAATTCAATATAGCCCCGAAGAAAAGAATCGAGGGAAATCAGATTCGGTGAACGAGCCATCTTCATAGCTCTACTTAAACTGAACGTTTTATCTTCTTGTTTGTTCTTTTATACGGTTAGAACGCCTTAGTGCAGGTATTTGTCCTGTCCTTTCATACGAATGTCTCTTTGAATTTGCCTGGATTTGGATTACATCAGGTAATATCCTTTGTGTTGGTGTTTCTCTAGGTTGATTGTTTTCAGGAATGGAGAAAAACACATTCGCTATTCCGAGATAATTGATAATTATCTTTAAAATCCATTCAAATCATTTCAAACTATACTTAGGTGTGACAACAGGTTTAAATTCAAGTTTCGTTGAAACTAAACTGAATTTTTTCTTCTTATCAGTTCAACATTCAAATCAATCGAATCACAATGAAACTACTATATTGACAACCAAATTTCAATTAAAATGACTAAGAAATACGTTTTGGCTTGCCAACTTCGTTATTTATTTCCTTTACGTTTAAAAAATGATTGTGGTAAGCCACTCCCTTGTTTCAAGGCCACATTCACAATTCAATTCTACGATTGCTAATTGCACAAAAATCTGTTTGTTACTCAATTCTTTCTGAATAAATTATTAATTATTAGCTGTTTGGCTGCGTTTTACGAGTGATACTGTACGGAATCTAGGAATCTGTACGGTATTCAAGGGTTATGCCGAATAATGGCCATTACTTATTCTATTTCGATGATAATTTTTTTGTACAACCACAAGTTATTCGAGAAATAGGAACATCTGACAATTACATATCTTCGTCCAGAATATCTGAAATCAATACTTACATCTAACAACATGACTTAATATTTACTTCGTAATAGCCTACAAAGGTAGTGGAAGTACTTGTTATCATGTAATTTAAAATATTCTTCAGAGTCTGTGGTTGAGTCAAGTCAAACTTTCTTTTTGAATTGCGTAGCAAGATCATTCCTTGTGAAATTTTTGATATTGCACTCAAGATAATATGAAAAATAATCATTTAGATTTGAATTCGAAACATGTAGGTCTCCCGACTCCTCTTTACACCAGAATTTTGCAAATGCTCGCTGGAAAACAACTACTTCTCTGTATATGAAAACGACGGATATTAGATTGTATTCGACAGATGTGTGTACGAGTTTACTACAGACAAAATATTTTCAAATTTTTCTCTTCCACAGAATCTCACCAGTCGAAAATAAAATGAAAATTTATTACATTATTTTACAGTGATTTTGCTAAATTCAAAATCAATTCATAGGAATAAGTGTAAGTTTTCCTTGAAAACTGAAAATGATTTAGTATTTTCTCACAGTCCCTATAGAAAAATGACCTCATTCAACATTTGAAATAATATTTCGGTGATTAGAAACTATTGCCGTTGACATTGCTCGTATCATAATCATGCATCATGGTTTTACTTGTAATCACTTCTGCAAGATATACAGAAAGGAATTCGATATTTTATCATGGATATTTATTTCAAGTCACACTTGATAGTTAGATTCTCACTAAACCGTTCACAATATCGTATGCCACGTATTTCACTACATAATAACTTCTTCAGGCGTGTTCATATTGACTAAATTCTACATAAGTATATGGATAGATCAGGAGTAAATGAGTTCATTTGTGATTCTTGCGCAAAACTTAATATTGGTCAAGTGGTGATACTCTTTCACAATAGAATGAAAGAACACAGCAGCAGCATAAAGCACTACCTTGTAGAGAAATTCTCCCAACCCCTTGACAACAAGGAGATTGCGGTTGCTGTATTTTTTATATTGAAGGAGCATTTGACAATGCACTACCTAAATCTATAGGATCGTCTCTGGCTAGGAAAGGTATAGATTCGACCATAACTGGCTGTAAAGAACACAGCAGCAGCATAAAGCACTACCTTGTAGAGAAAATCTTCCAAACCCTTTACAACAAGGAGATGGCGGTTCCTGTATTTTTTCATATTGAAGAAGCATTTGACAATGCACTACCTAAATCTATAGGATCGTCTCTGGCTAGAAAAGGTATAGATTCGACCATAACTGGCTGGATCTATGCCATGCTGGTAAACAAAACTGCAGCAACGACTCTTCGAAGCGAGGCCATTAGGTTCAGGGTCACCAGGAGCTGCCCAAAAGGTGGGGTAATATATCTCCTTCTGTGATGCCCTCGACAGAAGAAAAGTAGATCTGCAAGCTTATGCAGACGACCTTGTTATCTTGGCAAGGTCCACGTCGAAAAGGGTAGTTTGTAATATCCTCCAAAGCACGTTGGACGTTGTTCACAGTTGGTGCTTCAGGGAGCAGATGTCTGTCAACCCCAGCAAAACTGTGATAATCCTCTTCACCAGGAGGAGAAAATTGGATGATCTAACGCCACTTTTGCTCAATGGTGAGGTCATTCCATTTGGAACGGAGGTGAAACATCTTGGCATTATCCTTGATAAAATATTCACCTGGAACGCTCACTTGGAAAAAGTTTTACACAAAGCCAAACTGTCTCTAAGGACATGCCGAAGGATTTGTGGTAAAACTTCAGGTTTAAGTCCCAGACAAACCATTGGATGTATGTGATGATTGTCAGATCAATGATCACTTATGGTGTGATTGTCTGGTGGCCGAAGGCTTTACAGAAAATGGCCCAGGTGAAGCTCTCTGGCTTACAGAGACAGGCTTGTCTGGCTTTCAGTGGTGCCATCAGTACCACACCGTCAGCGACTGTGAAGATCATTCTAGATCTACCTCCTCTCCACATTTTTCTGGAGAGATAGCCTAGATGGACTCCTTACAGCCTTGTGCACATCGTCAATTGCACAAATCAATTCAATGCAGAGTGCAACAGACTATTGGTTGACACTAGAAGTCACAACATTCTAGAAATGACCTCTGACTTCATGCCTCCAACTGTCAACTACCTCTGTTTGGAAAATGATGGAACAGCAAAGATATACTGTGTGCCTCCCTGCTGGGGACCGTTATTTACAACACCTCAATACGTGTTTCAATCACCAATTGATCATCTTCTAGAGAAAGATCAAACTTCTTCCTCTTGAAGATGATCACTTGGTGATCGACACACGTGTCGAGGTGTTTCGACACGATTTGGTGTTGGGATATAACTCCATTAATATTCATTTAATGACCCTATTCACCAAGATGACCGAGATAGTGTTACTAAGACCGCTGCAACTCTAATGTAAAGAGATTCAATTACCTGGGAAAGTTGAATATCTGGTAGTGCCAGGAGCACATACAGATGATGATGATAATATATGTTTTGAGGTTGCAGTGCTTTGCGATGAATTGAAAGAAATTGACAAGTCAGACGTCTCTCAAGCAGCAATAACATGCCTTTCTCTAAGCCAGTGTTTGCCGCAAGTTGCACCGATTCTGGTGGTGAATATCATTAGTAAAGTCATTCACGTTG